TGCTTACTTTCGTTTATATCTTATTTTTATTTTTTAATTATATTTTTATAAAGTGTATAACACAGATACACTATTACGTTATAAAATGTTTCTTTGAAACTGCCAAACGTTCCTCGAAAAGAAATTCGATGAGGTCGACATGCTAGGGCCTTTCCTTTTCTCGATGATAAAAATAAATGAAAATATGTTTCTTGTCACAATTAGCTGGCTTAAGATTTGCATTTTGTTTAGATAAGATGCTTGCAGGCACATCCTTTGACGAATTCATAGGGAAAATAAACTTTAGTCTGCATCGATAATTTTTGTACTTTTATCAAATATTAATATTAATTAACAAGTATAATATAATTCGAATGATTTTAAACGCGTTATTATTTGAAAAAAAAAACCAATACGAATATTCTTTGCATAATCAGATCTAGAATCCAACACGATGCAGATTATAAATCGTTTTATGATATCAAATTCATCGAGGAGATCTATTTAAAATATTCGTCGATTATTAGTTAACAAATAATCTCATAGTTGAAATTTATTTCAATCATCTTTCATTTTTAGTACTTAAATATAAATCCAAGAATTAAATTTAAAAAATTAAATAGAAATAAGATTTCAATATGAAATCCTAACTGGTTATACGTAAGTATAGTAACAGGAATAGCGAAAATGAAACAAACTAGACGGTTGCTTTTTTTTTTTGACTCTAACACCTTGGTGTAATTTTTTACACCATCCCGGTAGTTGTAACATTTTAAAAATATGGGTGGATAATAGAATTGAAACATGGCATCGTCATCTTCGACGTAGTTTGCCGATAGCAGATAAATAATCGACAAATGTTTTAAACTGATCATCGTAAAAAATTATACGATGTTTGGAATAGACAAAAAAAAGAATTGCTATAACCGATATAAAGAATATGAAGTACTCGGTTTATGACTTCCTCGAACGTTGTACTACGTGTAATAAATGAAAGAAAAATACTTTTATTACTCTTCCATGATATAGAAAGCTTTATAATTATGTCGTGTCCTACGAGTATCGAGTTAATCTTTATATCGATGTCTTTTTGACGTTTTATTTATATAAGAAAATATTGTAATTTCATGCTGGGATAATATTTTATTAAATAGAATCATTATCATTTGTAAATCTAATTGCAATCATAATTTATTATAGACGATTGTTATTTTATCGTGTCATACCTTACACATATACACACGTAATTAAGCACGTATACAAGGTTTCCCAGTTATTTTTTCGCAAAATGTTACTAACGTACTATATAAAATTTCTTTTTTTTTAGTTTTATTTATGGAATGTGTTCGTAAAATTTTGCGATAATAAAACACCACCCTGTACATTGGTTTGAGTTAAAAGTTTCTTTTTCATATTTTAAATGATGTTTAATAAACCAAAACAATGCCATTTTGTTCCATGATTATTTTTATGATTTCATCGAATTTTCCAGCGATTGATCGACCACAACGAAATGCACCTTTGACATCAAAATTATGCGATCGTAAAGTCATTTTCCGAGAAAAAATATGAAGAAACTTTTTAATCAATCCAATAATTAATTATCCTTCGTTCAAAAATATGATCCCTAAATCGTGTACGATCCATAAAATGACTTTATTCGTGCCGAAGATAACACGTACGACAATTTTATTTCCATTTGCAGATATTAGCTTAGCACACTTGCTATAAAAGATAATGTAAGTATCATTTACTCGAGAGTCAGTCTGTACACTTGTGGAATCTGTAATTCCATTGGGAGTAGAAAAAGATCTACCCTTAACGATCTATTTGGATGGAACTCAGAGATATGAGAAAAAACGGAGAGAAAAATGTGTCTTTTCTTCTTGTTCAGTACTGGAACAATTCTCTGTTTCTTTTTTTTTTTTAAGTATATCACCCTTAGCGACTTTGCCGTACCGTTGGTAATGGATAGGAAAAGGAAGAGAGAAGAAAAAAGAAGTAGAATACGAGGGGGAAAAGTATCCGGAAACACGAAAAAACGTCAAACAATATCCCGGAGCACAAGAGATAATTCTCTTCAAAGTTCTACGGTAGAAACACGTAGGTTGGGGAAGACAAGACACGCAAAAAAACGATAGGATATAAATAGTGGTCCGAAATCGAACAAAATGAAGTCGTATTTTTGCTTTACTATCGTCAATATTTATTTTTGTTGTATTTTTTTACGCAATAACTCAATACGGAAGCATAGCAAGGATCGATAGATCGTAATTATTAAGGCCAGTTAAATTATAACGAGGGTTTTAGTTTGTCTAAACAAACTCCCTAAGTAAATTTAGGAGATTATATGAGAGTACTTGTTGATGATTTTAAGACCGATCGTGGTTAATGTAACATAAACTGTCAATAAGAAAATTATCCCGGAAATTTTAGGACAATCGATAATGCTTTGTAGGGTGTTCGGTGATTGGCTTAATCTCATTGTAAAAACTTCTCGCAAAGAAACAACAAGAAATTGTAATTTGTAACAGTAAAACATTAGTGATTAAAGAAAAAAAATAATAAATAATTAATAGATACCAAAGAAGAATACCTACTCGTCGTCCGTATTTATATTTGATCTAATTTCGTTGTAATTAAAATCAACAGATGAATTGAATCGGATTAGGAATACGTGTAATTATTATAAAGTAAAAGTTTATTATACAATATAATATATCGTTTCTCTCTTAGATTCATTTAAAAAGCATCAATTAACATCTTAGGAAAGAGGAAGGAGAAAGAAGAAAGTAAAAAGTAAGTTTGGGGTGTAAAATATTTAAAAATGTTCGACATTAACGAGTTTGGGAACCAAAGACGTTTCCCATTCTTAGCCTTCGTCACCTTTTCCTCCTCCCCCTCCTCTTGCTCCTCCTTCTCATCTTCCTGCTCGTTTGGAAATAGCAAATCGAACGAAATTTGCAGCGAACTCATTTTGGGGAACTAGTAGCACGTGACAAGTTTTATTGTTTGATAGTATAAGATCTCATATGTATGAAAAATTGTTTAAAATTGTCAATTGATTTCCACGTATTTTTTGATATCGTTGTATAATACAATATACTTTCTTGATTCATCAACAAGGACGAATTTATAGAAAGAAGATTAGTATGACGTAAAGAAAATATTGCATTTTACTTACGCGAATAAATATTTGTATGTGTGTTTGTGTGTGTGTGGGTGATTTAAACGACGTAGATTAGTATTGTCACGTTTGTATAATAACTTGACCATGTCACGCAAATGGTGAGAACGTATCCTAGAATGCGATCTAACTTCTTTTAAAAAGAACCATTTCCTTCACACCTTTCCGACGACAAGATGAACGATAATGCATACGTCAAGATAAGATTTAAAAAGAAAGAACAAGGAAAAAAAAGAAAATCCAATAAACAAAGTATTTCCCTTATTTTCTATTATCGTTAGCTTCTTTTATTAATTATTTATATATTTTTTTTTATCTTTTTTCTTATTCTCTCTCTCTCTCTCTCTCTCTCTCTCTCTCTCTCTCTCTCTCGACACCTGGTCATAAATTAAAGAAAATTTACACATTTATGAAGTATGAAATATTTTTCCCTTTTTAAAATTACACGTCCTTTCGGTATTCAGTTTGATCGATCGCACGGCCACCGTGTGCTATCCACCGACGATAAGATAGCGGCGAGAAGACAAAAGAATGAACAAAAGACGCCAACTCGGTAAAACGTTGACCGAACTCGGCATTAATTTGAATACGATTACTTGCTTTCGTCTATATCTTTCATTTTTCTCTCTTTTTCTTTTTTAAAAAGTGCATTTTAAAAACTACCAACGCGTGTTCTTCCCATCGAAGAAAACAAAAAATCCCCAAAAAATCAATCGAATAAACAATCGTGCCAGTAATTGAGACAGTGATAGAATTTTTCAACAACAAGAACAAAATTGGAAGAAAATTAATAACGCGTGTATAATTTATTTGATATATAATATTTAATATGAAATAAAGATTTATTTATTCTTTTTTTTTTTTTTTTTTACTTATTGCCACTGTCACACAATTATTATCCAACGGTATTAAACTTTAATTTCGATTGTCATTAGAAAATTCTATTAACGTAAAGTTTATCGATTTGTCGCGATATTGAGGCATCATCATTATCTTCCTTTCATATAAAAATTAATTTGTCTTCACACATAATATAATCGACGACCACACGTAAACATTCTAATACACGAACCCCATACGTATAACTCAGGAACCTCGTCGTTCTTTCAGAAAGTAGTTTTTCTTTGTAACCGCCGCTCTAGATAAACCTTCTCCGTCTGGAAGAACTACTACGGTCGACATTACAAGGCCTTCTTCTCGAAGATAAAAGGAACGAAACTATGTTTCTGTCACAATTAGCTAGCTTAACATTTGCATTCTATTTAGATAGGATGCTTGCAGGCACACATCCTCCGACAAGTTCGTAGGCACAATAAACGTTAGCCTACACCGATAATAATCCACATCCGTCGATAAGTATTTATTATCCATTTTGTCGACGAACAAAAAACAAAAAAAAAAGTAAAAGAATAAAGAAGAAAAGAAAATAAAAAAGGTCTCGTAACAACCAAATTGTATATCCTTTTATCGAATCTCTCACACGATCGAATTCGATCGTTCAAATATCGATAAACAATTAGACAAGGATTATTCAATCAAGATTAGATGTAATTTACGATTGTTAAATAATCATATTTTTTATTTATTAAACGATAAAAATGTATTTATGTAATGAGGTATTGTGAATTCTAATTTAATGACGATTGTCTATTCTGACGAATATTTTAAACCGAGTAGTGTGTCGTTAAAAATTCTACGCTGTTTGATATATTTAAAAGAAAAAAAAAGAAAAAAAAGATCGTTATAACCAGCATAAAGAAAACGAAGTACGTGGTTTATGACTTCCTCGAATATTTTGTACAATGTATAATGAACGAAGGAAAGAATACTTTTATTACTTCCGTGACATAGGACAATCTATAATTGTGTCGTGTCTTACGATTGTCGTCGAGTCGATTTTATTATTAATATCTTTATTTTTTATATTTACCTGTAGAACAAAATATTATAACTTTCGCGTAAAGATATCTTTCCATCGAATAGAATTATCGTATGAAACATTTGTATATAACTACGATCATAATTTATAACATTTTTATTTCATCTTGTCACGCCTAGTAATAAGTAAGTGTATGTGTACATAAAACTGAGCTTCTCGCCTAAACGAAACGATAAGCGAAGGTATCCTTCGTTCGGCAATAATTCCTAAACAAAAAAAAAAAAAAGAAAGAAATTGTGCAAGATTCATAAATTAATCTTATTTCGTGGTCGTTGATTGTACGTACAATTCTATTTCGATTTGCAGACATTGGCACACTTGGGATTTTTCGATAAGATAATGCAAGTATCATTGACTCGAGGGTCATACATTTATGGAAAATCTATAATCCCCTTTTTCCGTTGGAAATAGAAAAAGATCGATGATCCTTTTACGATCTCAATTTGAATTAGATTCTTAAAACGCGTCAGGAGAAAAAAAAAAGAAATGGTTGAGAGTAAAAGAAAAAGATATTTGTTCTCGTTCATACTCGAACAACCCTATTTTTTCCTGTTTGAAGGCTAACCGTTCCTCGGGTTCACCCCATAGCAACGATGCAAACCGACGTGCCGTTAATAATGAAAAAGGGAATGATGGAAGAGTATAGAAGAGGGAGGGAGAAGAATAAGTGAAAAAAAGTATGCATAAACACGAAAAATATGTCAAACAATACCCCGAAGCAAAGAGATAACGCAACGAGTCAACTGGTAAAAACAGCACGTAGGTGGGGAACGCAGAAGAGACACACAGACACGATGCGGAATAAATAGTGGTCTGAAATCGAGCGGAATTCAGTCGCACTTCTGGTCTACTATCGTCGTTAACGTTTTTACATACACGAGAAACTCAGTTACGGGAGGAGCATTGCAAGGATCGATCGATAACAGTGTGACTCACCCAACGTGGAATTAAAATAGAAAAAGAAAAAAAAGACAAATATTAACAAATCATTTCATTCCGAATTAATAAAAATTTTCACGAGAGAGAGAGAGGGACTCTTTAGTGATTGGATAGTTATTTGTCAGGACCAACACACGATTGTCCTTATTTTAAATCATGCTTTTAGTGACCTTTCTTCTTTTTTATCTTCATCCCTTAGTGAACGGAGACTCTTGCGGGTATTGTCTAATAAAACAAAAAAGAGAGAGGGAGAGAGAGAAATAATAAAGAATAGAACATAGAAAGTAACGCATACCAGGTGTTTTTTCTTTCTTTTTTTTCTTTTTTTTTTCTATTGATCTTATCTACGGGAATTTTATTATCAGGATGGATCATTTTATAGATGACCTCGTTTTTTTCCAGTGTGATTAATCAATATGCTAATGAGAGTTTATTATAGTCTCTTTTTCATAGCTCGTTCCGAAGCTGGATTAATCTAGTTGAATTCATTTCGTATTAAATGTAATACGTGCAATCCCGGTATTTTATATATAAAGAGGGTGAGATAAAAGTCACTTTTCCCATAAATTATTAACATGGAATTATGCAGATATTTATTTTTATCACCGATAATATTTGATTTATTTAGGTGGGTAGTTTTTTAATGTTTCATCCGGTATATGAACGTTTTGCATAGAAACTATAAAACTTGAATGAGTTATACCAAGTGAAGGAACAGTCGTTTCAGAACTTGAAAATCAACCCTCGATTGTTCCGTCATATATAAATTGATAATTAAACGATAGAATTAATTTGTGTATTAGGTATAATAGACATCAATTTGAACAATTTATATTAACAAATGTAAATAAATGAATATATAAAAATTGTAAAATAAATAATAGTTTGTTTAGAGTTATTTTAAGGAAAGTAACTTTTATCTCACATTGTATATAGAAAGAAAGAGAGATGAGTTCAAGTTCAAACACATTGGTGTATATCTTATCTAATATGTGTCATTGTCCCCCGACTCAGTATTTAATATCATCACCGATGACATCTCCCACCAAATTCTTTCCAGATCGAATTGTGAAAGATCCAAAAGACCGAAAAGGGTCTTCAGCATTTATTGGAACGTTCCTACCTTTATGTGCCACCAATATGGCATGAATTTCGACGAGGTGACAGATTTTAATATCAAACATAATTCTAAGGACAATTTTCGCGGTGAAACTATATCAATTTATTACGATCCTGGAAAATTTCCAGCATTGATGCCACTAAAAAATGGTAATATTTTTCTACTACAGTTCTTTTTATCTCTCTATCATTGATGATAAATCGTTTAAATCGATCTATTGTAAATTATCTATCGATTGTTTAGGCAAATATGAGGAAAGAAACGGAGGGGTTCCTCAGCGAGGTAACATCACGATACATTTGCAACAATTTAACGAAGATTTGGATAAAATGACACCGGATAAAAATTTCGGTGGTATCGGTGTAATCGATTTCGAAAGATGGAAACCGATTTTCCGACAGAATTGGGGTAACACGGAAATACATAAGAAATATTCTATTGAACTCGTTCGGAAAGAACATCCAAAGTGGAGCGAATCGATGATCGAAGCGGAAGCTACGAAAAAGTTCGAGAAATATGCGAGATATTTCATGGAAGAAACTTTGAAATTGGCAAAAAAGACTAGGAAAAGGGCTAAGTGGGGTTATTACGGATTTCCTTACTGCTATAACGTAACACCGAATAATCCTGGCCCGGATTGCGATGCTAAAGCGACAATCGAGAACGATAGGTACGAGATTAGAAATATCGGATGAAAATTTGTTTATTTGTTCGGTTCAATCAACGATTCTAATTATTCAAATCTAATTAGAACAAATCTATGTTTTCATTCGCGTTTTGCATTGCAAATTTTTTTCTCTCCCGAATAGTCCGTGTTTTGTAAACTTCATGAATAGTCGAGCAAACGATTTGTCTTCCTATCCGTTATCTAATACGTTTCTTTAAAAGCATATATCTTTTTCGTGCAGACTGTCGTGGATGTACAATAATCAAGAAATACTTTTTCCATCCGTCTACGTGAGACATGAACAAAAACCGGAGGAAAGGGTTTACCTAGTGCAAGGTAGAATTAAAGAAGCTGTTAGGATATCGAATAATTTAGAACATTCACCTAGTGTGCTTGCTTATTGGTGGTACGTGTATCAGGACAAGATGGACATTTACCTAAGCGAGGTGAACATTATTAATATTTTCCAATTTTCAAGATTATCACGTTCGCTACTACCACGTGTTGCATACGTTTAACGATCATTGACCGTTTTAATTGAATTTCACGTATATTTCATATAACAAAACGAAAAATAATTGGAGAAAAAGAAAGATCTGTGGCCGGCAATTTTGTTCATAGTAGCGAACGTTTTATGCATCACGATATTAAACTAAAGCAAACACTTCTGCCCTTCTGAAGTATTCAACACTTTCTATTTTCTGATATTTGATTTCTATATTCCCATAGACCGACGTGGAAAAGACTTTCCAAGAGATAGTGACTAATGGTGGGGATGGTATCATAATATGGGGTAGCTCGTCCGATGTTAACAGCCTAAGTAAATGTAAGAGATTGAGAGAGTACCTGTTAAACACTTTAGGACCGTTCGCGGTTAATGTAACAGAAACTGTCAACGGAAGATCATCCCTAAACTTCTAAAATAATCGATAACGCCTAATCACGTCGATGATGATTATTAGGGTATTCTTCGGTGATTGGTTTGATCTCACTGAAAAGACTTTTCGTTAAAAAACAAAAAGATAAATGTAATTTATAAGTTAAAAAAACCTATACGACCAAAGAAAGAAAGAAAGAAAGAAAGAAAGAAAATAATGAATAATCTAATCAGTAAACCTAAGAATCTACCAAAGAAATAATACCAATTAATAATTAATGTTTGTACTCAATATAATTTCGTTGTAATTAAAGTTAAATAGATCGAATCGAATCGCGCCGAAATTGCATAATCCTAATATAAAGTAACACAATTTATTATGCAATATGATATTCTCTCCCCTATAGTCGTTTAAAATGTAAGAAGAAGCATCGATTAACAATGTAGGCTCCTGGAAAAAGAAAGAAACAAGAAGAAGAAGAAGAAAGAAAGAAAGAAAGAAGAAAGTGAGAAGTAAATTTGGGTGTAAAGTCCTTAGGAGCATTCGCCATTAACGAGTTTGGGAGCCGGTGACGTTTCCCATTCTTGGCCTTCGTCACCTCCTCCTCCCCCTCCTCTTGCTCCTCCTTCTCGTCTTCCTGCTCGTTTGGAAGTAGCAAATCGAGCGAAGCTTACGGCGAACGCACTTTAGCACTAGCACACGACAAGTTTTACTGGTTCGAGGTGTAAGGCCTCAGGCGATCTTACTTTTTACAGTACACACGACTACATCGGGTAGAGGAGGTAGTCAAAGATCTCTCTTGCTCATGGTTGATCCCTCCTCTTACTTCTCTCTCTCTCTCTCTCTCTCGTTTCTTCTCTTCCTCCCTCCCTCCCTCCCTAACCTTCCCCCACCGACCTCCTCCATCTTTCTCTGTTTTCTCGAGGATACCTCGGGAGCTCTGGGAGAAAGAGAAAGAGAGAGAATCGGAAAGAAAACGTGAGAGAGAAAGATGATGAAAGAGAACGGAACAGAACGGGAACGGGAACGGCGCGGAACCGAACGTACCGAGTAGAAGGAGAAGCTGAAGGAGACTCTGGTAGTGGTTGAGGAGGAGGAGGAGGAGGAGGAGGTGGATGAGGTGGAGGAGGAGGAGGTGGTGGAGGATGGGGAGAAGGAAGAAGAGAAGGAGGTGAAGAAGGAGGTGGAGGAGAACGGAACACGAGAGATCGGCAGCACAGTTTCGTGCTCAGCTCAGCTCGGTTCGGCTCAGCCTCGTATCGGCCTCGGTCTTTCGAGCCAAAAAAGGTACGGATTTTCCTTGACGAGTGTAAGTCCCTTCACCGTTATCATCACCTAAGTCCCCTTACTTTTATCGTCGTTCGTTTCAAATTTGCGCGGGGTTTTTGCGAGACGAGCGCTATTTGCTATAAAGTGCGGGCCCATTTTCTTCTTCTTCTTCTTATTCTTCTTCTTATTCTTTACTTTTCCTTTTCTTATTATTCTTATTCTTATTATTATTATTATTATTATTTATTTATTTTTTTCATTTGACCATTCGACGAAAGATCTACTCTTGGATACACGCTTAGACCCTCTTCTCTTGCTTGGTGCGTAGTACGCGTTTGCGACGTCGCAGCCGTATACCGAGGTGAGTGACAGTAACTTGAGAAAAGCCAAGGCTGCTTGTGCGTCCATCGCTGAGTCTCTTTCTCTCTCTATCTATCTATCTATTCATCTATATCTATCTTTTTCCGTCTTACCTCATTCCTATTCTAACATAAAACACATAAGATTTTCTACTGCAATTACGTTTATTCGTCTATAATACTATTTTTAACAACATTTTTCTACCCAAATATTAATAATAAGTGCACTACTCGTTGGTGACCATTAAAAAATGGATTTTGTTACGAGGATAGAAAATCTTCCACGTCACGTACGGTTCAATGCGCGTCGTTATTACGCTGATCGTTTTGTAAAAGTCTCCTCCTCGATCGGTGAGGCTGCGCATAGAAAGTAGACTTTATCCTTGATAGAAAACACAAACGGAATTTAAAATAAGTATAAAATGATATATCGTTGTATCGGTAGAAGATTATTAATAATATGTTCGATTAATTTTCTTCAATAAAAATTCATGCACGTTGGTTGAATTCATTAAATCAACGTGGTCCATTAAATCGTATCCGGAACATCAGCTGATCATTCGAAAAAGTATCACAAACTCTCGAACGGATTGTACAAGCTGTTGGGATCTCTCTCCAACGAGATACGGGACACCCAAGGCTCGAGAAGAGTAGCCCAGAAGCAAGTTATCCAAAACGTTTCGGCCGCTTATCCTAATACTAGACCCTATTCTTGACTTAATGATAGGCTCTTCATAGACGCAAGAGTTTAAGTTCCACGCTAAACTGTTGCGCGGTAGCGAACCTACAATCGTATCTTTTTTAATGGAGACCTTTCGCGATCGGGCCTATCATTGGTTGAATTAATCGAGCGTTTTTTTTTCCCTTTCCATAAATATATATCTACTGATATTTAATTATTTCCAATTCTTTTTTTCTTTTTTCTATAAATCGTTCTGTCAATTATCCGTCAAGATTAGTTTTATTTTAGAGATAACATTAAAATCGAATATTAAAGTTGTGTGTGGAAGACTTGGTGAGTGAGGGATCCGCGAGGAGAATACGCGTGCTCGAAATGATTTTTATAACGATTCGCGAATCGGTTCTCCAAACTGAGTGTATTTTTGTTCGTTATTGGGACGTGTTACTTCGTCTCATAATCATTCGAAATAACGTTTAACCGGTCTCATTCCTAAAGGGTGGTCTGTACTTAATTATCTTTCACGGCGCGAGACATTTCTTTTTAAAACCACAGGTAGTCCGACGTTGCTGAAATTATTTGATGTCTCTCCTGCTACCGCACCTTCGACACCTGTACAAATCTTTTTTAATCCCTAGAGTAGAAAATTGTCTACTTGTTTAACCAGTAAAATATACGATCCGAATAGATATTTTAAATTAATACGACAACGAGACATCTGACGTTTATCGTTTCTTCGTTACGTATCGATAGATTATTATTTTCCGTTTTTTAACGAAAAAATTGTTCTTTCAATTTAATATATTTATATATTGTATATCGTTGCATACGCGCGCGCGCGTTTTTATGATTACGTAAATAATTGAATAACCCGTGCAGAAATAATTTCTTCGTGCATATCTTATACTCTTTGTAAACGTATACTGTAGAACATATATTACATTTTATACCGGTATCCCTAAGGTCATGGTGAACATCGTAAGAGTAAAGAAAGTAGCTTCGTCATCAGCCCTCTCAAGATATCTCATATCCAACCACGGTACCCGAAGTAACGGGTCGTCGTCATTCACGAAAAGAAACCGAGAACGAAAACTTCTACATATGACTCATCTTACAAACGCAACCGTGTTTATATCGCGTATCGTTAAAATACAAGAGGATGAGTAGAGGAAAACAATCCTGTTAACAGAGATCTAATAGTTAAACGATTTAATAAGAAGAAGAAATCATCATATGTGGAAGGAAACTTGGATCATCCATTTTTTCAGTTGCATACGAGAAACCTGATAGATTTCTCGATCATTTTATACGAAGAAAAACAGGAGAGACTACTTGGGTGATCTATTTTTCCACGAAGAATCTTTCAACCGATACAATGAGAATACACGCGAGAAACGTGATCGATTTCTCGATCATTTTAAAAGAGAAAAAAAAGAACGAAAGACACGAGTGATCTATTTTTCCATGAAATCTTTCGGTCAACTTTTTTTTTCCTTACGCCAATTATTTCGACGGAAATAAAAGCATAAACACAGTTCGTGGATGCGTCCGAACATTGTGTATTTTAAGGAAGACGAAGAAAGAAAGAATAAGAAAAAGAAAAGTAGAAAAGAGAATTCGCGGTTTGTCGCGCGTTCGTCCTCTCACGAAAAGAGGAAGAAGAGGGAAAAAAGAAGACAGACAGACAGACAGAGAGAGAGAGAAAGAGAGAGAGAGAGCTGGTAGCAGCAGAAGTAGCGGGCAGGCTCGAGGAAGACGAAAGGGCCCGTTTTAAAGAGCCGAGCATTAAAAACAACAATGTCATTACATTTTAACGACCTGTTCTTGGGCTCTGCCCTCCCTTTTAAAAGCGTTCGTTTGCAGGTATGTGGTCTCCGCGTATGGGGACCACCTTACTAGCGGGTGGAGGGAGTAACTGGGAGAGAGAAAAAAAAAGAGGAAGCTTAAAGCGTTGCACACACGGTTTATCAACGAGTATTCGATATCGATAAGGATTTATCAACGATCTGTAGACACACAAACACATTTAATGGTTATCGATAATTAATGAAAAATCAAAATGGTATTGATTCGACGTCGTATCCTTTTCCGAGTAATCGGGAATAAGATTATTCTTCGATCGTCCCGATGGACTCGACTCGCCTCGACTCGACTTGGCTTGTAATTTGATAAGAAAACGAGAAGCGTTCGATAAGACATGGTGGATTGAGGATGATCGATCGATCGATGTATTTGAGAAAAAGAAAAAAAAAAAAAGAAAAGAAAAGGAGGATCGTCGAGGTGTTTTGACAGGCTTGTCCAAGGGTGCAAAAACATTGGGATCCGGCACTGGTCAAGAGGAGAAACTCCACATTCGGTTCCTCTTTTCTTCTCTTCAGCATCATCCCCTGGCGTCACTCTTTGGCGACGGCGACGGGGATGGCGACGGGGATGGCGACGGGGATGGCGACGAGGATGGCGACGGCGGCAGCCAGGCACCATGCACCATGCACCTCGCGAAGAATTAGTATGGGCGAAGAGAGAAACAAAAGCATAAGGAGCTGGCGCGAAGGGGGTGCGGCGGGAAGGGGGTGTGGTGGTGGTGGTGCCGGTGCCGGTGCCGGTGCCGGTGCTAGTGCCGGTGCCGGTGCAGGAAGGATGAAAAGAAAAAAAAGAGGAGCCGAGATGGCGCCACACGTCCAGCGTGTTTTCAGGGCATCCTCCGGTGCTGTTGGCAAACTCCTTTTTTTCACCTCGCCGTGTCGGTTCTTTCTCTTTCTCTCTTCCTCTCTATCTCTTTCTTTCTTTCTTTCTTTCTGGTTACTCTTCTTTTTCTGGTCACCCATCCTCTTCCTCCTTCAGCTCCTCCTCCTCCTCCTCCTCCTCCTTCTACGACGACGATCGTCTTTCTCCGTTGGACGCGCGAGATCCTCCTTTTTGTATTCTCTTCCTCCTCTTTGACCCCCTATGGGTCCCCTATTAGTTGTTGGCCCACAGCACCGGTATCTCGAGAAACGGAGATGGAGAATCGACGAACGGGGAGGAGGAGAAAAAAAAGGACTCGCAGAGGATGGTCGCAAAATTGTGAAATTAGGCTACGTGAAAACGAGCTACGGGAGGCCCCCGCGAAAAGAGAATAAGAGAGAATGAGAAAGATGATTGAACAAACGGGTGGGGTGGGAAGGGGAAGTTTCGGAGGGTGCCGAGGACTTTCATTAAGTTAAAATAGATCGCCAGGATTAAGATAAAAATCTAATATAGCTGCCGTTTACAGCTCGCCGTATTTCTGTCTCTCTCTCTCTCTCTCTCTCTCTCTCTCTGTTTTTTATTCTTTTTCTACTTCTTTAATCGGAGTAGAATTTTTTAGGAAAGAAAAAACCGCGATTCAAATTATCGGAACGCCGTAAACGTAATTTATACGGGGAGTAAGGAGGGGGAGGGATTAGTTATAAATTCGAGATCTTTGAAAAAGGGGTAATTGGAAAATTGACAAGATCGATTTTTTAAATGTGTGTGCACGCGTGATAGGGTACTTTCTCTTCGTTCTCGAGAATCGATCCGACATATTTTTGTTATTTCCATGATAGAGAAAAGAATCCTTGTCGGCCTTCGAGTTCTTCTCCTCTCTGAGATCTCCGTCTGTTTAGAATACTAATATTGTCCGTGTCTCTTTCTCTTTCTCTCTCTCTCTCTTCCTCTTTCTCATTGCCACCTTAAATAGAAAATATGTGATCCACGTTCCAAAAATATTCTTCCAAAAATATTCTACGATATATAACCCGGACTATTCGACTATCGATTCCAATGTTGTTCCTTCGTCCGAACAATGGAATGATTTCTTACCGACACCTTTCTCAAATCATTTTTATTCCTTTTGTTTATTTTTTAATATTTTAGGGATCATCATAAATGCATTCGTTTTCTGCGATTGCAAAAAAGATAGAAAGGATGAAAAAAAAAGAAAGGAAAAAGAAAAAAAAACAGAGAAAGGGGTTGAGAAGGCACGAATAGGTTGGTCATAACTTCTGGTAGATCGTAAATTCTAACGTCGAAAGCATCCTCGTAAAATCAAACGGCTACCCTGAAAAGAATTTCCTCGGGGCATCGCCAACCGCAACAACAACAATTACCAGAGGGTTAACGAAGTTTAACGCGTTCTGCGTTATTAATGAACGAGAAAATGAGAAAGGCCACCGTACTGAACCTGTTTCTCTTATCTCTCTTTCTCTCTCTCTCTTTCTTTCTAGACAAGAAATCCGAACTACATCTACTAACCCTTTTCCTAACAAAGTCTCGCGTTAGATACGAAGAAAAGTAACAAAAGAAAAATATATAAAAATCATTGGAATTTAATAAACCTTTGGAATTTTCGAGTATATAAGAGTATAAAATTAAAGGAAAAATAAATCATCGGATCGTTTTTAAGTAACAAGAGTCGACAAAACCAAGTTGCACACCACGGTGTACAGCATCTTTCCTCGTCTTTCTTTCTCCTTTGGCCTTGGCACTCCAACGTTACCGACGCGTAGTATATAAATGAATATATACTATCTACTCTACGTAGAAAAAGTAACATATTGCTTAGGCTACACACCATCTTGTTTGATCGTATACACAGTGAGTCAATAAAAATTGTTCTGATTTCCGTAAGTTTGATGTTCGTACGAGAAACTTATTAATAACAAAATTACTTAAAATAGTTAGCAACAATGTCGCAACAACAAAATCTTTACATATACAATACTATCGCATTGGTAAGAAATAAAAAGAGAAAGGAAAATAAAGATAGTCGATAAATTTTGAAACGTCCTTCGAACGGGCCCATTCCAGGGTGTTAAATGTGAGAAATCGAATCAATAGACAGCTCGCACTGATCCGGGCCAGGGATCGTCGACGCGAGGTTTCGTTAAAAGGTCCCGTAAAGGGCCCAGTCAGGCCCCTTCAAGAAGAGAGAGATGAAGAAACTCGCACACGTACGGAACGGCGCCCTTTGTGCCGGACCGCCTCGGCTCGGGGGCGCGTCAAATTTGGTTGAAAATCAAATTAATCTCGCGGCTGGGCGCAGGACCCCCTTCCTTTTCCTTTTCCTTTTCCTTTTCCTTTTCGTATTCAACCTCACTCTCTCTTTCTTCCTCTCTGGCGGCACGACGACGACGACGACGACGACGACGACACGAACAAATCGAAAGGACGGGCCCGAAGGAAGAAGAAGAAGAAGAAGCAGAAGAAGAGGAGGATGTGAAGGTGGAGGAGGAGAAAGAAGAGGTGGGACCTCCACGCCACCGACACTGCTTCAGAGGCGAGAAGAGAAGGTGGCGCAGCAACAAAGAGCTTTGGACTTCTGGCTACGATCGGGCCAGGGCCGTGTTCACGTTTTCCTCTCAAACGTAACACACCTTCCGCGTGTGATTTGTTTTATCGTCGAAAAATTTCCCTTCCTCCTTCCCACCTCTCGTCCCTCTCCACTAAAAATTATCTATCAGACTAAATTATTACCTTTTGAGAAAATATTATTATTATTAATAATTATATTTAATCGTTAAAAATATTACTATCACACAGTTTGAATTGACTCGTATCGAATTCATCTCTCCGATGCGTCGTATTCGATCGTTCAAATCACCGAATAATCCCAATGGTAATTAAAAAGGAACGAATCCCTCACATCGGTAACGTTTCTTTTTCGAAAGCACGTTCGGAGTCGGACGACGCATCCTTAGGGTGAAAGATAAAAAAAAAAAAACAAAAAAAAAAGACAAGCTGAGAAATAAAAGGCTCTTGTTCCGGAGAGGTAGATAAAAGTTAAGATGAAATCAGCCGGTCCTGGCGATGCTTCGCTTAGGTTTCGGAACCTAATTTTTACCACCCTTAAACCATCGACGAAGCGTCCTTTTCGCGCTTAGCGGTGCCCTGTTGTATATAACTCGTGGTTCTCGGAACTCGAAATAAGAAACGGAAGATCGGAGAGAGATCCTGTGCGAGAATATAAAGAGGAGAGAGAGAGAGAGAGAAAGAGAGTAAAGGGGGTGGAGAGGAAAGGGCCGCATCGGCCGTTGTTAAGGGAAAAAAAGGCCTTCGAGAAAGGGCTCTCGCGAGGAGAGAGAGAAAGAGAGAGAGGGAAGAAAAAGCAGATGGTTCTAAGATGAGGGGCCACGAGAGGGAGGAAGGAAGAGAAATAGAATGAGAAAGAAGATGAGAAAAAAGGAGGAGAGAATCGGGAGAAGTGGTGGAAAGAGGAGGAGGATGAGGAGGAGGAGGAGGAGGAGGAGGATTCGTTCTCTCAGGTGGGAATTGAAATGCATCGAAGAGGAACGAAAAGTCGATCTGGAGGCTCTTCTCTTGGAAATGGCCGACGGGACGGCAATTGTTCGCCGAGAGAGAGAAAGAAAAAGAGAGAGAGAGAGAGAGACGAGATTCCTTTTGTCGTGTGGAATTCACTTCGCTTGAGTATACGTAAGCGAACCACAAACGACGTGGAACGACGTCTTCGTCGTCATCCTCTTCTTCGTCGCCGTCGTCTTCGTCTTCGTGGTGAATTCCTGAAGGACTTCAGGTTCAAGCAGTCTTCTTCTCGGTCTCGTGATCCCGCAGCGCGAGAGATCGATTCCATTCGAAACCTGGTTCTTCTCTTCTTTTCTTCTTCCTCTTCTTCTTCTTCTTCTTCATAATTGGATTCACAATTGGATCCTTTTCCTTTTCCATCCTCCTTCTCGATACCATCTTTCTTTCTTTCTTTCTTTCATTCATTCATTATCTCTTTTTCTATTTGGATCCTTCCCCAATTGGTTGAAATTTTACGGACGAGATCCAAAGGCAATTTTGGATCGGTAATGATTACAACGAAGACAGACGGCACTCGGTGACATCGAACTTTCACAGTTTATGAGCATCGATCGGTAATCGATATCGGGGAACCGAAAATATCAACGTCCCCAATCTATTCTTCCACTTCAACGAAAAGGACTAACACCATGGTGTATCATAGAATATTCAAATTGAAATCCACATTCGATCTTTACCATAAATAGATGGCATAGAATCGTCGATTTTTCTTTTTTTCTTAGAGTTACAACGAAATAAATCAAAGATTATGCATTATTACCGATCGTGATTTACATATATCGTATTCTTTCTATAAGTAATATAATTATGTTTGACTTTTTGACTTGTTCTCTCTGGTACGTGAGTGTTTTCACGCTTGTACGTTTTTTATTCGTGACAAGTTCACTATGTTGAATAAATGACACGAACGATCCGATTACGTAAAATTCACTTTCACGGGACGACGTTCGAGAATCGTCGGTATCGACATTAACCTGCTATCGATTCGCGGTCGTGAATTTAACGGTAGAGAGATAGTGCTGACGTTTTGTGTGGGTGGAATAACAGAATGCCATTAAAATTGCGTGCACGTGTCCTACGGTATTACGTCACCTTTATTCGATCACGCGAGATCGTGATTACAATTAACGGATTCGCATGCGATAAGGAAAAGGATTCGATGCGTTATCCGTTTACGTGCCATTCACGTTGAATCACGCCATTCCTTCTTATCCTATTACCACAGAAGAAACTATTTTCATGTTTAATACAATTGATTGTCCTATTTTCTAATCAAAAATTTCACTTCGCCAATTTTTCCTTTACGTGTTGTTTTTTTAACAACGTGTTTTTTCTATTAAAAAATTTATTATTAACGCGATATAAACTAAAATTGTTTTTATTCTAACCAAAAAGTATAAGAAATAAGAAAGAAAAGAAGAAATATAAACTGCTTAGGAATTTTTATTTCGGAGCACGAACACGATAACGACCAAAGACCGACCTTTTAAACGTTGGGCTTTGTTGTTCCGACTAGAAAAAAAAAAAGAGAAAAAAAATTGGTATGTCACCGGAAAGAGTGAATCACGTATTCAGCACTGGTACCCTAAATCCAACACTATTTATGACTGGAACGTTCACAACGGGTTTAGTTATAACTCCCCCTTTCCAACAACACGAGGACTTTACTTATCTCCAAATCTTGGAAAGTTAAAACTCGAGCATTAGGTATGAGATCGAAAAAGAACGAAACCCTAATGTATCTATGAATGAATCGGACATAATCAATGCCAAAGATCCATTCTCCGTCCATTACTATTACCATTTACAAGTAACCAATGATGAAGCATTTATTTTCCGTAAGATCGTATCTGATTTCAACTGATTGTCAGTACTGGACTTGCATTTATCACTTTTTATGAAAAAGAACTAGTAATTTAACTTGTACCGAACTGCAACTAAAGAAAAATAATAATAATAAATAAGAATAGAAAAAAATAAATAAAAAGAAGTGGGACCAAGCGATAACAAGACTAAGCAAGCAAGCAAGTAAGCAACCAAACAAGTAAGCAAGCATCCAATGACGCAATTCCGCTCGGTCGTCGAACCGAAGGCCTCGAAAAAGGCGTTCAAGTCGAGCCGGCACTTTCATTCATTCGAGAAAAAAGTATCGGCATGCACGCGCACGGTCGTTGCACGTATTTCGAATTGCAATAGGTTTTCTCGAAAAAAATATCTAACATAAGGTTCGCCAAGTAGGGTATTCTCTCGAGTACACGCAATTCGACTCGTTCAAATAACACGCATTCCGTATATCTATGGCTCGGCAACCGGTACTAAACGACCAATGACGACGAGCTATTCTTCGTCAAAACGATTCTCCTTCCTTGCATTCCAATCATCCAACTCTCTTCTATATTCTACGACAGCAGAAAATATCGTTCCATCTAATCGAATAACAATAGTCGGTCTGTTTTATTATCCTTACTTACGACCCAATCAAATGTCTGCTTTGAAAAATAATGAATTAATTTTTCTAATTACAAAATTTAATCCATAATAACTTTTTATCAAACTTAATTATACAAATATTACGATAAAAAAATGATTTGATAATCTGGTCGTATATTCAATTCCGATAATAAACAACGTAACGTTCTTTACCTTTTTCTTTTGTTTTTTGATAAAAACATTCGGATAGTTTTATTTTTCTCTTGTTGCAGAGATCATGGAATCTGCGTGGCAGTTAGCGACAACTGTCGTTTTCTTCTTGGTTCAGTCGAATTTATTGCACGCTCATCGCGAACACAAGGTTCGTAAAATTGTAAAGGAACCGTTGTTGCTTAACTACTTGGAATCTTTGTTTCGAGCATTTAATCATCCGTTACAGGTCCACAACATAGTACTTTATCCGGACAAGCACAGTTGGTGCAAAACGACGCCTATCAAGCAGGTAGTCGCGTGGCCTCAATGCTCCTCCCAAGAACTCGATAACAACGTGTGCGTTGGAGCTTGTTTCTCTTACATGGTACCCCATAGCGAGCCATCCGCTCCTGGTGATTTGATAAGACCCTATTGCGACTCCTGTCAACCTCTTGACAGCGTTTGGCATACGGTAGGTATCTCAGTTCGATGAACACATATCAAAATCAATCTTTCAAGAAGATACGATTATTTTAAACAAAACATCCAACGATTAATCTAGCAAATTATTTTAACATTTTTCGGGATCAGGTTACCTTGGATTGTAAAGACGAGGAAAATAATCCAATGACTATGCAGAAAAAGGTTCAAATAATAACTAATTGTTCGTGCAGTTCTTGCATGGAAACATCTAGAATCAAACCCGATTACAATACGTTACTTCAATCGTTGACCGTAGAAAATTTGGATAAGAACGTTAACGTTGTCCACGAGACGCCAGATCTCCTGTTGAATCCTAATTTGAATTCGTCGAAAAATACCACGAGAGACGGGGTGGAAGCTAACGAAAGATTTTTGCAATTGTTCAAGCAAGGATTGAAGGACTCGGAGAATTTAGATGAGATAGGCGCGAAAGAATTGTTGAAGAAATTTGGAGAAGAGATAGATATGGACAAGTTTAGGGATTTATTGAAGAAACTTAGTCAAGAGGATGAGAGGCATCAGGAACATCAGCAAAATAACAAACAGCAACAGCAACAACATCACGGTCCAACGACGATGCTACATCGGGGTCCTCATCATTCGATGGTTTTGGATTCCGGTGTGAAGGAAAAGATCGACGTTGAGCCGCATTATCTTCATCCAGCTGTGGCCGGTCAAGAGATCAGTTATCACGACAACGTTGTCGTCGACAAGGGAAAGAAGAAAGATTTTTGAGATCTCTCTAAGATCGAAAACGATCGTCTCGTTTTACGAAATTGGATGCCGGCCTGGGTTATTTTGAACGAGCTGGACGACAAACGAGCGGATCGTCGTAAGCGCGAAGGAACGAACGACACTTTTCTTCTTTCCCACGCTGATTCCACGAGAATCGATCGGTAAGGAATTTCATGCCTGGTCCAAAAGCTATAAAAAGACGTAAATCTGTGTACGTGACGGTAGCTAGCTAGCAATTTTATTCTTCCCTTTTTAATCGTCAAAATATTTAGACTGCTTAAATGGGGGTACATATACGATTTATTTTTTTTTATTTTTTTTTTTTCCCGTATTATTCGCGATCGAATTTCATTCTTTTATTCAGCTTAATATATATTCTACACATGTATGTAGAGATAATATTATATTTTAAATTATTTCTCATTTTTGTTAATGCTACGAATTAGTTTGTCAGTGAACAAAAAAAATGATAACGAGGATATCGAGCCAACGAGAAAAAGAAATAAAGAGAAGAGAGAGAGAGAGAGAGAAAGAGAAAAAAAAATACGTGATCGGACTCTTACCGTAATTTTCGAACATTTCGTGTTTCGGTTTGTCAAGAATCGATCATGTATAGATTAAAAATAAATAGAAAACTAGAGTTTCCCAGTTAATTTCGTATTCATTGTTATGAGTGAGAGTGAGAGAGAGAGAGAGAGAGAGAGAGAGAGAGAGAGAGAGAAAGAAAAAGAGAGAGAAAATTTTAATATATATTTAGTTATTATTATTGTGTTAACTATTTAACGAAAATCACGCCTTTCATATAAGCTCGCACCGAGAGACAACATTAACAATTTTTTCAAACTAAAAGTTTCCTCTTTTTATTTTATAGACCGAAAGGAAGAACATTGATGCGCTTTTCATTTCGTATTTTTATTCACACACACACACACACAATTCTATTTTACATATATATTTTGTTTCTTTATTCATCATCGCTTCTACGTTTTATTAATGCATTGTAATGTCATTGTTCTCGTAGAGAATAAAAGAACGAACGGTATAACAAGACCAGTTATTTTCTACTTTGTCGTATACGATCATTTATTTTCATCGGTGTATTATTATTTCATGTCCTGTATTATATCTAATATGTCTAATGTTAACGTAATTATAACCCGATGACAAATGTATTTTTTAACGAACAAAGAAATCGCAACGAATGTAATCGGTAATACCAGAACGATATTTCCCAAGAAGGAACACGGTAAATTAGCAAAGAAAAGAGGAATAAACAGATACGTTCATTTCCCTTTCTTCGTTTATCATTTTTCGATATTTATTAAACAAGGAAAACGCGATAAAGAAATTTAGGTGCGCCGTCGTCTTGTGCAAATCTTTTCAACAACGTAGATTCAAAGTAAAGAACAAATTTTCTTAAATATATATTACATCTTAAATTATTGAAATCATATATAAAATAGAATATGTTTAAAGATATTATTTAAACAAATTATATTAACTCTTCTGTCATTAATGACCCATATATGAGTCGTCCATGGAAAAATCTCACCGACTCATGTAGGAGTTGTATACCATACGATATTTAACCAATCATTTGATTATTATCGTTATTACTGATTAGTAATTAACTCTATTTCTTTATTTCAGTAACTTCCAATAAAGATACTAAAGAAAAAAAAATCTATAAAACAACAAATATATCGTAAAAGAAAATCGAGAAACATAGCACACGGAATTGTAAAACTTAAGATAGAAAACTTGTGTTCGAACGTGGAAAGTAATATATATATATATAATTGGATGAAAGATATGAGACAAATTTATGCGTTTCCCGTCGGTAAAGTTAAAATGATATCAGTAAAAACGATGATCCTCTGACACGACTGAGATCACTCAACAAACCTCAAAGTTTCCACGTTAAATACATGCATACACATGCACGCGTAAATAATATAATAAAATAAATAATATATATATATATATATAAGAAGGGAGTACCCAATGAGAAGTGAGTGTACAGTTTGTGCTTAGATTCAACGACGAAGAAGACGAAAAAGGATAAGTCTCTACCGGTGGATCAGGTAAAGGAATGTTGAAGATCGAGAGAAAGGCGGTATGTACTTACATACATACATGCACACATATCTATACGTACAAGTTTTACGCGTACATAGATACACGTATTTTCTACACACGGGTACACAGCATTCGGTACTTTCTCTTATCGGTTGCCCACTTAACTAAGACTGTAATCATCGAATGCTCGTTATTACGAAACCCACTTTGAAAGTTGATAAAAAGTAACAGAATAAAACGATTTGAAAGAAATAAGCATCCGCTTACAATAACAGTTCCAATGGCAAGTTGATCAGTGATAACGAACGTTCTCAGCCAATCGCAATCGTTCTATGAGATCGGAAGTTGGAATCGTGGTGACGCGCGAAAAGCATTTGCCGAGCTGTACGAACGAACAGTGTCGCTCGGTTCGTCGAGCCTGTTGTTCCTACTCTCTCGTAGACATTATTATTATTATTATTATTATTATTAATTATAACGTTGTTATAGTTCTTGTTGTTACCTTTGTATCCCGTCATTGTTATCAAAGATAATCGGAGGAATGACGGTGACGTCGATCGCTGGATCAAACGATCTAACTCGAGCGAACGATACTAATCGATCTAGAGTGTTTTCTTATTACCCGGATGTTAAAAGATCTTTGATCAAGTTCGATCGGCAAAGAAGATAGGGAACGTTTCTCTCAAGGATTTCACCATTTCTACGGAAAAAAAACAAGGACTTTATTATCAAGGACGATTGAAATTGTGCGCGTGGTGGCCTTTGCTACGACGAGAAATCCTTGTGTCATTTTTATTCGTTTTAATAAGGCAACGAAAAATTTGTTTTTTACTTTTTTATTTTTTCGTATCTCTTCAACATCGGATTGAAGGTATGAATTAACGGAGAACGGTCACGGATATCCAATCTCTTCCTGCGTTTTCTTTTCTATTGCATATTCTGATCAGTGCTTACCGATTTTTCATATCGTAAGGTAGTCACTTCTCGGATATTTCTCTTGCATCGAATTCAAGTGCACCATTTGTGTCGGTGCACGACGTATTATCGTTTTATTCCAATCAGAAGACGACGCTGTGTCGAATCGCGATGCCTAACAAACCTGTAGTTTTTGATTACTTTTGAAAAAAGCTGCATATTTTTGTCTCTCTCTCTCTCTCTCTCTGTTCGTGAAAGTGAATTATATCTCAAATCCGAGAATACCAAATTTTGCAATCTACTCAAAAGGAAGAAGACAGTTTTTCACCAAACGTCAACATGGATATCATGGATGGTACGATATTTATTATTATTATTATTATTTTTCTCTGTTCGATTTTTATCCTATTTTAATATATTTTTGTTATCACTTTACTCTAACAAAAAGTAAAATCTTTATTGTTGTTATTAATATAATTTTTATGTTGCGAAAAAGACAAATATTATTCAACGAAAAATAAAATGTTTCTATAACACGTGATTATCTAAATTAGATACAAAAATAACGTAGTAAATAATTCTAAGCACGAACAACAGTTTCATTTAATTTTAAATGTCTTTTCTTATCTATAATTGGTCAAATTGTTTTCTCAACTGATCGATACGATCGATTGTAAGAGATAATCTGTAAGAATTTAATAATTCATCGAAAAATAATATTCTTGACAAGTTTATATCATGAATTTAACAACGTGTCTATTTCGAATAAATCGATACGAACCGTCGGAAGTAAGAGAGGAAGCAACTTTATTTTAAATTCTTATTTCGTGTCATTCTCCGACGTGTGATTTTATGCGCGAGTTTTACAAATTATTTTCCTAACGGATAGAATTTTTTACAGAAGCAGCAATAGAAAAACATACAATCAATTAGTTTCAATATATTGTCTACGTAAAATACAAAACACATATAGATTATATCACACGTGCAACATCATTTTTATTTATATTGTTTTATCACTTATAATTTTTTCAAGTATTTCGTTAAAGAAAATTGCGTTATTATTATCTCATAAATATTGTAAACGCATCTCTAATGAAAATATTATTTAATTTGTGTAATATATTTAAGTTTAAAAATATCAAATAAAATATTGAAAATATCTAGGAAGAAAGTACAATTTCTTGTTCTACTTAAATTGACATAAATTTCATGTCGCAGACAAGAATTGTAAGAAACGAAGGGACATATTTATTTGTAAGATAGTGGTCCTCGTGTTCGTTTATAACTCGGTTCGTCGATCGAGTTAATCGTTTAGATTGATATCTCTACAGGGAGTAAATACATAAATATACGCACGAATGAACATATATATTCGTGAAATAACTTTAGCCTCGACCTCGTTGATCCTCCGAGAAGGAAAAAAAAAATTAAAAAAGAAAAAGAAAGAATGACACTGTAATACTCGGAACGATCATAGGGAGAGATCTTCGAACTGTGGCTGCCATAAATAATAATCGCGCTTCGAGATGATTAATTAATCGAAACTGACAGACCTATCTTTTTTTCTCTTACCAAAATCGTTGAAATTTATTTTTTTTTATCAACACACAAATTCATTCTCGATCTTATAACTGCGTATAATAATAATAATAATAATATCCAAGCGAATTTCTAAGCATTGAATATAATTAATAAATTAACGAATAATAATATAATCGATGCATCACGGATAAGTGATGAAAATATGTCAAGCACGTATTATCCTCTTTACGTTATTGGTTGCTGATCATTTCTTAGTAAAATAGTAAAAAATGATTACTAATCTTACGTAACTTCAAATGTGCCGTCTATCAACATAATATGTTAGTATTATTCCGTGTGTGCCAATAACGAGGGTTTATTACTTCTCACATTTATCATCTTTCGCATGTTTGTAAGCACTACATTTTTAACTTAACAAGAAATGAGAAATGTGATCGTTCCAGTATCAAAGATAACCTTAGAGGCTACTGCAGCAGCACTGTCAAATGTATTCCGATTAATTGTCAAAGTTTGTAATAATTATTATATGAGTCGCTGATTATTACTACAATTTTTGTTAAACCATACGTTTTTCTTTTTTAAATATCGCGTAGCATTTACCTTTCAAAGTATTTTTGTACAATTTTATAGTTGAATAATTACATAAAATTGACGACGTAAGTAAATGGTTCTATCGATTGGAAACCATTTATCATAACGTAAACTATTTACCCTAGTAAGACTGAAGATTACTTTAAATATGGCATCTGTATTTTTCATTCACGTATCACCGATCAAATTATTGTATATACGTGAGATCGAAATGCTACGTGTATTCGATTTTGTCGTGAGATTATCAGACGAGCGATATAATATTCTTCGATTGTTCCAACGAAATAATTCGATAGCAAACGAAGTAGAACAAAAAGAAAAGAAAAACAAATATTTGTTATAGGAAAATATTGAAAAATATACTTTGGACTAATAAACAGCTGCTTCGAAATTATCAATATTTTGTTACACCGAAAATAAATAGATTTCTTAAAATAGTATTGTACGAAAATAATTTCAGAAAATTTCGATGATTCATTTCGAGCCTTGTAGGCGCATACTAAATAACAAGAAGTCAGACTCGGTTACGATGACGCGATTTTCTAAATATGATCGAAATTTGGCACGACATTAGCCAGACGTCGGGAGATATTTGAGACGAGTACGAATTTTAAATGTATTCCAAAATAAACGTAGAAAATGGTTTAAAGGTTTTGCTTATTTTTCTTATTTCTAATCAGCGAATATCTTAGACGCGTACGCTACCGGTTAACAATTTTGGAATATTTCTCGACCATTCGCTGATAAAAAATAAATAATAAAAAACTTCAAAGACATTTTAATTTCCTTTCACAAATATCCTGTTTTTTTTCAAAATATACTTAACGATTACACAAGCGCAAATGCATAAATAATTTAAAAAGTAACACGCGGAAGTAAAAAAGTTGTTAACAAGGTCTTAATACGCATTTCTGTTGTTAATACAGGTGCATTTAATAATCTTGCAATTACAATTGTTCCCATCAAGTAATCCTTTAATCGGGTAATCTAGTAATTATTTTTTGCAAGATAATATGACCTCGATGGATCGAGGTATAAAAATTTCCTGTATGCACAGACAAATCTACACGTGCATCTGTATCACCGAATCATCATTTGATCCACATGTTAATAGAGTCAACAAATGTAATAAATCATTTCCTATTTCTGATGCCTGCAACGATTTGATGAGTCAGTATATATCAACAAAATGACGATTCGCGGCATATTGTGGTCTTATCTACAAAGTTGTAATCTCGAAAATGAAATTGTCGCATCGCAACGATAAGAATTCGAATATAAAATTCTTAGCTACGATATTAATTAAGCTCTTATTATTAATAATTATCACGATTAATAGGTAATGATTTTTGTCCTCGATAAATAATAAATAAAATCTTCGCGATATACAATTGACATTCATTATTTAATTATGAAAAATAAAAGGGTGGGGGGGGGGAAGTGCATCATATATATGGTGGTTGATTTTTCATGATTTTTACGTTTGATCTGTTTCCACAATAATACTTATACGATTGATAATAAAATATTCTCCAATTTATTCCACATACATGGATAGTGCATAAAACCACGTAGATTGATAATTACAGTCTTGTTTATTTCTTTCTCTCCTATTTTTTTATCGGTCATAAGGATTTCCAAAATGTCGAATAAGAGAAAGACATCCTTTCGTCGATATGACAAAAACGACATCTTCCGTGGAAGTATAGTGTTAAAATAAATAACCAATAGAATTGCAAATCAATCTAGAATAACGATTCTATTTCTCTATTCTAAATCTATCTAGGAAACGATAGAAATCTACCACGTGTCTCAGCACGTTCTCAAACGCACGTGTCTACTTTGTTAGAAAATGGTTCGTTTAAATTAGTTTAGAAGTGCCTAAAAAAAGCAAGCCAAAAATCCCGTTTATACATTTTACGAAACGGAAGAGCAAAATCTCGGAAAATTAGTAATTAACTATGTTAGGTATGTATGTATTAATGTAGGCTATAAATTTATGTAGATGGTTTTATTGTATAGTTAGTAGTTATGGAAATGTTCAATGTAAGAATATATTGTTAATGAATTAATTTTCAATTAAATATGAACAATATTTGTGAACGTAAATAAACAATTATGCTCCTTAGCATAAGTTTAAATAACGAGAAAAAAATATACATGTGTTCGTATATTTGTAAAGTTTTTTTTTTCAATTGTTTACCCTTTGCCGGACTCTCAATGGCGCCCCTGATGAAACCTGTGCCATCGCACAATTCTCACATCTACGAATACGGCCTTGCGAACTGAAAGGGGGAAAATTGACCAATCAGAGAACTTGGAAGGTGTTAATATGTAAGAGCATGCTCGATAAGTTTGTTTCGTCATTAGTCAAAGTTAGCAAGAAGAGGATATGAATAAAGATCGTTCAATATTCTATAGAAATGCATGAGTAGTAGGAAAGAGAGGGAAAGAGAACGCATGTGCAAAGTATACAAAAAAGAAAAAGAGAGAGAGAGAGAGACAAGAATGAATGAGAAAAAGTAAATTACGTATAATGCGTTAATCATTTGTAGCGTACTTTTAAACTCATGTATATGTTTCGACCACCATCGGTGAGATACACCGAACAACTATGAAAACAAGTGTACACATTAGGGCTGTATAATCATCAGGGGCGAATAGGTGCCAAGAGGTAGATTTAGTGAAAGAACATATGAGTCACGGTCGTTACCTTTCTTCACATAGTCGTCGTTGTCGTCATAGCCCTCATCGTCATAGGTCGAGAGAGTACTCGGAAGTAACGACAGAGGGGGCAAGTGGAATAATCTCAGGTGCGACGCAACCAAATTGTTTCTATAAAAATTGCAAGGGGGAAACAAAAAATAAACGTTCTACGATATTGTTCGAAAAATCCCGAATAAGTTATCCAATTAATCTATTCGAACGATTGGAATAATTTTTTATTCCACGTATCGCGCGAACATTTTTTCCTCGTTCTGCTCGTGGAAAGAATAGAAAAGAGATGGTCAATTTGAATAGTACACGTGTACGTCTTCTAATTGCATAATAAATTGATTTTCTTACTAAAAGCGATACCTCATCAATTTTCAAACTATGCGAAATTCCGAGAAATAAGGAAAACGAAGAGAGTTTTCTTAGCCGAAAAACAACTCGCTTTGATGAGTAGTAAACGTAGAATCATCGAAGGAAGAACTTCTTCCTTTACTTTGTAGAAAATATTATTTCTTTTCGCAAAGAAGCAAGAAAAAAAAGATCAAAAATGTAAGAAGAAAAAGAGTCACTTGAATGCTGAGTTAAGGAATAAAATATTTCTTAATAAGTGCAATTCGATATCTTCGTTCTTTTGGAGTAAGCAAAAATCAGGGATAAGAAAAAGCATCGGGTTCTTTAGGAACACATGACAGCCCTAAATGAATCATGCGCGTGCTCGAATACGTTACTGAAACTATGTCTGTGCGAATGAGAAATAATGGGAATATGAACAAATTAGAAAGAGAGAAAGAAAGACAGTGCAATACGCCAAATGATTCCCTTAATTCGTTCGCGTTAAAAACAACTACAGTATGGAATTAAATAAGGGGTCACGAAGAAATTAGTCATCGTCTTTTTCAATCAAACTGAAATAGCTCTGACTTGTTAAACATCTTGTTAAACGTTTGAAGGAATCGATATTATCTGCTAATTTTGTACGGGTGTTCGATCGTACAAAAATGCGAAAGAAATAGAGATAGAAAAACAGAGAGAGAGAGAGTGAAAAAAAGAATTTGTTAAAGGCTAATAATCGGGTGGAGGGAGTAAGGTAGAGTTGGAAAGGCTACAATTCCGCCATCTTAAAAGTAGCACGTTGCTCGAAACGAATCGACCGGAGCGCGAATCGTGTGCCTGTTCCCAAGCTCACTTCAGTCTACCGTTGCAAATTGACGGGGTTCGATCTTGATAGTAAAACGGAAGTACTACTAGGCGTTCCTACTTGTAAATTTATTTAACAAAGTTAAACATTCGAGTGAAATCAAATAACAACAAGAACAATTGTGCGGGCCGGAAAAGTAGAAAAGAATTTTTTTTATCGTATAAAATTTTATCTAACAATTAGCCTCGATGCAGCCGTATCCGAGAAGAGAAGAAAAACGAGAAATAGTAAAGTGAGCTCCCGGAAAGGGGAGACTTTTTCTTTTCCGTTTCTTAATTTGCAAGATATTTGGGATAAAAAGGAATACGCGCTGAAGTCGTTAGAACTGAAGATTCCAAAGGCAACGACGAGGAGGAGGAAGAGGAAAACGGTAGCGATAACAACGACGACGACGACGACGACGAGGAGAAGGAAGAGGAAAACGCGAAAATTCGTTCATTTCATCGACGAGAATATATTTGGAGAAAGCTACGTTCAAGTTTCGTTGGATTTCATTATGAGCAACATGCTAGGAACAAACTTTTGTACCGCGTTCTCTGTACTTAGAAGTCCCGAAGAGGGTGAATCTTTAAAGCGAATCGTTTGAAAAAAAATATTCGAAAAAAGAGATAGATACTTTAGAAAAATTTAATATACCTTTAAAATTAATTTCATATATCTATTATTCAAACACGCGTACACACATAAATATATATATATATATATATAAATATATAAATAGTTTTGATTGTGTTGCGTGTTGTGTATCGTTCGCGCCATTCGACGTTTGTCGGAAGGGAAGATAATAATCAAAAAAGACGATTAACGTTAAACGATATTTCGTCTAAAGATTAGAACGAGTCGCGTTTCGAGAGAAGTCGAAAGAGAAGGAATTTATTTGATCGTGACGTAATCTTGTCTATATATAGATTTCCCTTGTGCAAATTCGTAGACTTTCATAAACGTCCCGAGAAGGCCAAACGTCATCCATTCGCGAATGAATGTGGTTGTTGTAACGATTGATCGATAATTAAAGGGGAGTATAATAACAAATAAAAAATATATTTAAAGATCGGTAAGTGTTTGTGTTTGTGATAAATCGCAGTAAAGTGAAGAAGAAATAGAAAGAAGACAAACCCGAGCGATATAAACGAAGAATTCTGTTCTCTTCCGATATTGCATCATTCGAAAAGGAACCCTGTTATTATCTAAGGTCGATAAAGCAGGAATCATTCGTTTTAAAATCTGCCGATCGAGAAATCCCGACGGCACTAAAGATATTCCTATAACCCGTAATGTATTTGAGATCGCACAAGGGCGCAGCAAAAGGGTGGTACGAGCAAAAAAGAGAGACGGTAGGAGGTGGAGGAGGTGGCATCTTGACCAGGAGTCGAAGGAACAACAATAACAGCAACGACGCCATCGTCGTCGTCGTCATTGGTGGTGGTGGTGGTTGCGGATCGATCAGAGACAGGAGGAGGCAAGATAGGCCGAGTCAAAAGGATTATTCTCAGGATACCTGCTGTTATTCGGATCTCGAGCTAGTTAAGCTTATTCTATTTCGGTCAAGGTTACTCGGAGGAAGTAACACTTGTAAGAGGAACAAAGTTTCGAGGCTGGTGTGCCTTGAGCGCGGTATGAGCGAGGGTGAACGCTCGGTAACAACGCCGCGAATCGGCTGGCGAAAGCTCACCGATCCCGGAGACTGACACGAATCCAGAAATTTGCCGGTAGATCCGAAGCGATAGCATCGGCTACCGCTTGCTGCTCCTCGGCTTCCATATTCTCCTGCCGTTCTCTCAGCTAAAAGCTCCGATAGTACGCATTCCTTACTCTTTCCTAAGATCAATGTCACCCAACAAATGGTAGAAAACGGTCCACCTAGAAGAGCCTCGAGAACCTCCAAGAGAGATCCGAAAATGGCGGGTAATCGGTGTCGGTAGCAGACGGGGTTATCATTTAGCCCACGACCGAAGAAGGAACGAGAAAAAGGAAAAAATAGAAGAGGATTTTTGCGTCCTAATCGCCACCGAGCCATCGCCTCGCAACCTTCCTCCTGTAGTCCTTTCGTCAACTATCTCCAGTGTCCTTGGTTCTTTTCAAATGAATAGATGAACTTACAGTAAAAAGAGAACCTGACTAAACTGATAGTAGAAAGTATCGTAAGAAACGAGAAAGAAAGACACGAGGGGGAATCGCGATTAGATTTGTACCATCGACTAAGCTCTCCCTTCTCTGATCCAACCTCCCTCGATTCAACAAAACCCTCTCCTTTCTTTCTCCCCCTACACACCTTCAATGGACAATAATAATCCATAAGAAGTAAATATTAGTGGTAATATGTACTAGTGGTAGTAGTAGTAGTCAATCGGGAAGAAGGACAAGAATATAAATAGTCGAAGAGGAGAAGGCGCCCTCGTGAAGACGCGAAGAAATCTTTGCAATAATCACGATTGCCCTCTGCTCGTCTGCTTCCTTGGGAAGAGAGAGAGATAGGGATAATAGGAAATAGAAGAAATAGTTTTATTTTCTTATCCCACGTGATCGATCGATCGACCGATCGTCACCATCGTTATCATTATGCCGCCGACACCTAACAAATTGAATCTGAGCTTCGCCAGAAACGCTTACAGCGTTTTCGGAACTCGTACTACCGACACGACCACGGAACAACAACGCGAACAAAAAACGGAACTTCTAGAGGGTAAGAATGGTAAAGAATAGATCGTAACGTAAACACATTGAAATGAATTCGAAACACATTTACGTCATTGATCTACGTACAATTTACGAATATCCGATAACTCGCACTAGCCGTGAAAATGATCGTTCGTAATCTTTTTGTTTGCTCAACGTTACACGTGTGTATGTATATATATATATAATATATTTTTTATTATATATAAATTATCAAAGAGATGAATTCGACACGTTCGCGTCTTCGATTGATAATTATGATGCTACACGTTTTTGGATAAAAGTAATATTTTTCATTTGAGGTTTCAGATTTTTACAATTTATTTTATCGAAGCTATCAAACGATCTCCGGTGTATAACTGTATCAAACTTTTATCTGATTTTAGGTACAAGAGGCAACGGTCTCCTTCATCTTAAAAATGGCGTGGATTACATCAATCCTGGCGAAGAAGATCAGATGGAAATTTATGGGTAATTAAGAAAGGGAAACGATGAATTATCTTAACGATTTTGATATATGATAATAAATGTAATAGGATTATAAATATGTCACATTTATCTTCTCATTTTAGTTACAAGAGAAATCATACTTGGACTGTAATCACCTGGTTCTTCATCTTCCTTACCTGCGGTCTTTTGCGATTGATTTTCCATTGGATACCACGTCTTATGTTGCAAGCTACTCATTCCAAATGTCCTTTGGATGAGGCTGATACTGTTCTATTGGTAGAAAAGTTTCAAGAAAAGCATACCATTTATTATGTGAAAAAATTAAAGACCTTAGCAGCTCGCGATGTTATGTTAGTATACATTTGGATATTTTATATGATAATTTAAAGAAAAATAATAATAATAATAATAAAATGCAATTGATTTATTCAAAGGAATAAACCATTCGATGGAGAATCATTAATGGATAATGAGCCGTGGATGGATAACGGAAGCATGATAACTATCAAAGCAGAAAAGGAAGAAATTCCAACGTTGTCTTTGCATTTAGTTGGCGGACATTTTAAACGTAAAAATCATTTCTTATGAAATTCTTATACATAATTACAATCGTTTAATAATAAAGACAAAATAATTAACGAAGAATCATTTTTAGAGGTCCAATCGATCGTCATTTTTAATTGCAAAAAGTTAACATACGTGTGGGATACAGAAAGATCTGAATTCTTAAAGTTACGCGGACTTGACATTGGTGTCGTAAATTCTTCACTACACCAAATGCAAGGTTTAAGTGCTCAAGAACAATACATGAGGTAATAATATTACGGTATTCTTTCTATTGTTTCCTAGTTTATTGTAATCACTATTCTTTATAATAAGAGATTGTTCATTGTTCTAGGCGTTGTGTTTATGGAAACAATGAAATTGTTATACCAGTAAAAAGTATAATAACATTATTATGCCTCGAAATACTCAATCCATTTTACGTCTTCCAATTATTCAGCTTCGGCTTGTGGGTAGCAGACGATTATTATTATTATGCAATGGTTATTTTATTAATGTCCAGCATCGGTATCATAATGGCGGTTAACCAGTCTCGTCGAGTAAGCAAATTTTTATTTCTTGCGTAGCCAAATTTTTTCCCCCGTGTAATTTTTAATCGTTAATTCTTTATCCAATAGAATCAAGATAATTTACGATCTTCGGTGCACGCGGTTTCGTCTGAATTGGCAACCGTTATAAGAGATCGTTCGACTGGACAAACTGCAAGTATACCGGCGGAACGTTTAGTTCCTGGAGATATTTTAGTTATTCCACCTCACGGTTGTACGATGACCTGTGACGCTGTGCTTTTAACCGGAAATTGTATTTTGAACGAGTCTATGTTAACCGGAGAGTCAGTTCCAGTAACAAAAACGCCCATTCCTTCTTCCAACGAAATTGTCTACGATACAAAAGAACACGCTAGACATACTCTTTATTGTGGCACGAAGATTATTCAGACGAGATATTTTGGATCGGAAAAGGTACGTTTCAATTATAAATATATTTTATATTGTAAAGATATTAATATTAACAAACAAATAAGGTGATAGATCTTTCAATCGTATGTTTCGTGTTTAACAGGTACTCGCAGTTGTCATCAGGACAGGCTTTAGCACTAGCAAAGGAGGATTGGTACGATCGATCATGTATCCACCACCTGTTGATTTCAAATTCGAACAAGATTCTTATAAATTCGTTGTATTATTAGCCGGGATAGCCAGCATGGGTGTAATCTATACGGTAGTAACGAAAATTATGCGGGGTGTTCTGATGAAACACATTATCTTGGAAGCTCTGGATCTAATTACTATCGTAGTACCACCTGCTTTACCAGCAGCCATGACGGTTGGTCGATTTGTTGCTCAAAAAAGATTAGAAACGAGCAAGATATATTGTACGAGTCCAAGAACCATAAACGTTTCCGGTTCGATCGATTGCATTTGTTTCGACAAAACTGGAACTTTAACTGAAGATGGTCTCGATATGTGGGGTGTTGTACCAGCTTCGGAAACAAAATTCCAATTTCCTGTAAAGGATATAACGACTTTGCCATTAAGCGATTTGCTAATAGGAATGGTTACGTGTCATGGAATCACTATAATTGATAATCAGTTGGTAGGCGATCCACTTGATTTAAAAATGTTCGAATCTACTGGTTGGACTCTGGAAGAACCTGACGTATCGGATACTTCCAAATTTTCTATGCTCTTCCCTACGATAGTTCGACCTCCTAGGGGTTCCAAAATCTCGAAGAAAGGAACAAATGATGTATCGATCGATATGAGCCGACAGAATTCCATGACTTCTGACGTGGTCGATAGCATCTCTTTAAGCAACTTAGACCCTGCTTTGACTGGTGGTTCAACAGCCGATCTAGGTGAACAAGGTGTAGAAATTGGTATCGTTCGGCAATTTCCTTTCACGTCTAGTCTTCAAAGGATGAGCGTTATCACCAGAACATTAGGAGCTAATCACTTTGATTTTTATTGCAAAGGAAGTCCTGAAATGATTCTCAGCTTATCCAAACCAGAATCCAGTAAGTCCAAGCTTTTGTCGTATTAATTTATTTCATTTTCTCTTCAAATGTTTTTTGATAAATTATTATTATTCATTTATAGTACCGCCCGATTTTGCGAACGTTCTTCAAGAATATACAGCAGAAGGTTATCGCGTAATAGCCATAGCGCATAAATCATTAAACCGTCTTCCTTATGCCAAAGTACAACGGATGAGTCGTGAATCTGCCGAAATCGACTTAAATTTCTTGGCATTCGTAGTAATGGAAAATCGTTTGAAGCCCGAAACTAATCCTGTGATCGCAACTTTAAACGCTGCTTGCCTCAAGACTGTCATGGTGACAGGAGATAACATGTTGACTGCATTATCAGTAGCCAGAGATTGTGACATTGTTAAACAAGGAGCAACCGTCATCGTAGTGGCAGCAATTACGCAACAGAATCAAACCAAACCACAGATTTATTTCACTAAAAGTAATAGTCAAGCTTCGCCAATTTCACCTACAGGTCAAGGTGATTTTAGTGAAATGACAGATTACAATAGCGTGGTCAGTTTGGAAACTGTGGAAAGTGGATCCTTTGGAAATAACGTTTTAGAAAACGATGCTAATTATCTATCAGATAAGTGAGTAATCATTTGTGATTGATTTGATTTCAACAATTTATTGATTTGTAATTATCATTTATTTTGATATTTTTCAGTTTGCAACGCACGCGAAATAATTATATTTTCGCTCTGACTGGGAAAACGTGGGCATTGGTGAAACAATACTATCCTGAACTGATTCCGAAATTGGCTACTAGAGGTGTTGTTTTTGCTAGAATGTCACCGGATCAGAAACAGCAGCTGGTTCAAGAATTACAAGCTCTTGGATATTACGTTGGTACGTATTGTAGTTAATGAAAAATACTTCAGAATGGTTAAATCTAATCACGCGTAATTAAATTCGATGATTTTCTTTTTTACAGCTATGGTGGGCGATGGTGCAAACGATTGCGGAGCATTGAAAGCAGCTCACACAGGAATTTCTTTGTCGGATACCGAATCTTCCGTAGCGTCGCCATTTACCAGTCGCGAAACTAATATTTCTGCTATCCTTGCGGTAATACGAGAAGGCCGTGCCGCTTTGGTAACATCTTTCGGCAATTTCAAATACATGGCCGCGTATTCGCTTACACAATTTATCTCCGTGATGATTCTTTATAGCATCGAATCTAATTTGACCGACATTGAATTTCTTTACATCGATCTGTTCATTATTTCAATATTTGCTGTCTTCTTTAGCCGAACGAAAGCCTATGATGGTCAATTGGTAAAAACAACTCCTTTGAATAGTCTCATCAGTGTAACACCGATTCTTAGTTTGTTAACACAAATCTTGATCGTAGCCATTTTCCAATTTGCAAGTTTTTGGCATCTAAAACAAATGAATTGGTACAAACCTTTTAATTTTACGAGTCAATCGGCCGAAGATAAGGACAACGTTAAATGTTTTGAAAATTACACCATATTTACCATTAGCTCGATACAGTACATCATTCTAGCCGTAGTTTTTTCAAAAGGTCCCCCGTACAGAAAGTCAATGTTCACTAATTACGGTCTTTTGGCTTCTTTCGTTTTACTAACTCTTTTTTCCGTCTATCTCGCTCTGTTCCCGTTTCAATGGTTAGCCAATGCGTTCGAGCTCGAACTTCCCAATGACATGAGCTTCCGTTTCATTCTGGTAGGTTATGGAGTCGCCAATTTCATAATCTCTTTGATGGTGGAATACTTATTCGTTGATTATTTGGTATTCAGTAAATTACGTTATCTTTGGCACAATATCGACAAATCTAGACGAAAATATTTAGCGATTGATCGCGATTTAGCGAGAGATTTGAAATGGCCGCCTATATCGCAAGAACCATTACCAGAAGCAGCACCGGACATTCTCATTCGTCAAAACGTAACCGAGATCAAAATTGAGAAACGGGCTCCCGAACCTTGCCGACAAACCGACACGAACTTCATGAACAGTCCGATCTGTAATAACATTAAACCTTTCGGTTCTGCCAGAGAAGTTACTTTGAATCCTAGATCTCTCTTCAACGATCGTAGGAATACCGTGTCAATGCAAACCGTACCGTGCTTTGAGGGAAAGGAATCAATCAAACAATCGAAAATAGAACTGATGACCAAGAGAAGACACAATTCTGAATCAGAAAATGGTATAAATCAATATGACAAGTCGTTTAAAACTCACAACACTAATCCTATCGCAACTTTACCAAGAAATCCTACGACGACTTTGCAACCGCAAAGATTAAGAGACTTCAAAGAAATTCTTGTTCACAAGAGCGAGGACGGTTTGGCACCCAGTACACACAGCGTCCTCGAACTCGATATTTTACCATCCTGAGAATTAGTTCGTTCGAACGATCGATTATTAATGATCGATGACACCAACCAGAAACATTTTCTATCTGGATCGGTCGATTATAATTATTGTTACATATTATTGAAATATTTTATCGTCGATGGAAATCAATTAATTTTATTTGTCATTCCCTTCGGAATATCCTTAATCTTTCGAGGATCGCATCTTAGCTGACGAATTTTGATCATAACCGTGGTGTTTTCCCTATCGATCGTTATTTTTAACATGTCGAACGCTTCCGTTCGAAGTATTATTCATCAATGGACAAAAAGATGGTGCTTTCTTCTTCACGCATTCGGCAGAATGTACTTCAATGTCCCTACATGAGAAACTTATTTTTACGTGTGTTCACTAACTTGGTAATTTTTAATTAATATATATATATATGTTTAGATACGAGTATCGTCGAATGGTATCACCCCCATATGGGTCGATCAATCGTGCAAGCGAGCCTTTGTATGAACGATCATTATTTTCGACTTTAAAATAATCGGAATTTTAATTTCTAATATTGTTTTCTTCTTTTTTTACCTAATTTAATTTCTGAATCTAATTTGTTTGTAAAGATCGAGGCGCATCGATCGATGATAGATAGGAACAATCTCTTAGCGTTCTTCAAAAATATTTAATGCGTTTTTCTACGCTGTGTGTGTGTGTGTGTGTGTTTGGCATTATTTAGGATTTTAAAGTAAAGGCATTTAGGAAAAAACGTGCGGTTTCTACGACAGCTTGTAAACGACGATAAATCATATTTTTAAGAATACTTTAGTATGCTCATTTAAGAAAGAAAAAGAAGTAATTTAAGTTAAATGGGTCTCGATATTGAGCGAAAAAAAATGGGGTTCCTTTTGACCCGACTTCTCTCTCTCTCTCTCTCTCTCTCTCTTCGCGTCCTCCTTTCCCTAACTACTAGTATTAAAATCGTAGCTATTTCAAGAGAAAGTATTAATATCGTTATTTATTTAAAAAATAACAAATGAAAAGGAAGAAGAAGAAGAAGAAAAGGAAAGAAATTTCGGCTCATCCACGAAGCGCGACAAAAATAAACTAGCGATTAGGAAGTTTTCGTTTCGTACGTGAAAATTGTTAGCATGATTAGAATATCGAATTCATATATACATGTACTTATAACTGGGAAAGAAGAAAGAAACAAAGTAAAGTTAAGGAAAAATGTTCAATGAATTTGTCACTTGTAAATCTTTCTTCTAATTTTTAGTCACGAACTTCTGGATGAGTGTAATCTTCTATGTGTAATCTAATATTAGACAAAAATTGATTTCGTATGTAATTATTAGCTAGACCTTGAATTTAGGATCAAATACCAGTTAAAAATCTTTCGTGATCAGTATGATACACGTTTTATCAACAATTATGCATTTATTTCGAGATTCAACGTTAAGATTTTGTCCATCCATTAAACAGCGTTGATAATGATTTTGAATATCACGAGAATTTATAACTGGTATCGTTTATCCTTAACGTATTATAATAGGTGATAATGATAAAACATGATGAATCTTGTGCTTAAAAGAAAAAGAAAAAGAAAAAACAAATCAACGGAATTGACGACAAGCAAATAACGAATAATTCGCAATGTTGTCGCAATGCACTTAACGTTAACGCGATCAAGATAATAAATACGTGTACTTATTCTATGAATGCATATAGAGATACTTAAAAACAAAATGCGTTAAACTATTTGCAACGCTATAGCTTGTGTTGAAAAAGAAATAATGAATGTCAAAAATAAGGAATGATATGTTTTTAACGTACAAAAAAAAAACTATGCGTTTTCATTCATACCTTCGATCATCTTTCTCCTGCTTTTCTTTTTCCTATCCGATCTTCGTTATTCTTAAATGAATCTTTGCGCAAGGAGGGTATTCAATTGCTTGGGATGCAATTTATAAAAGAAAAAAAAAGAAGAAAATTTATTAAGCGTGATTACAAAAACAATTGTCACACCCATACGATTGAATGAACACGTAATCGAATAAACGCGTCGATTTACCTCGATTTCTTGGGTGCCTTAACAAACAAAAAAAATGAACTTAAATTAACGTTGTGTTATTTATAACTCCTTTGAATATTTACAAATGATTGTCATTAAATAAGATGGCTGAGATTATTAAATCGTAAACGTAATCTCAACGCGTATCACGTAAAGGAAAGTAGTATCGTTGTATCGTTCCTTCGAGTCTTTAACAAAACTAACTTCATCGTTTTCTTTCATCGCTGAACATTCGGGTCCACGGATTTCGAATGATATGGACTCTTTTTAAAATGAATTTTCGATTATTTCATTCAAGAACTTTGTGTCATGCAAAGTTCATGATGTACGCAAATAAAAACAGAGCGATAGAAAAATTGATCCACGTAGAATGCTACGAGTTAATAACGTAAGTTATCCAATCAACTGTCTTTGCTACGCGATGATAAATCCCTGGTTGTCCTGGTTGAGCGCAAGAATAACCAGCTGATACGATTCCTATTAAATACCATCTTCCTGTTTTCTCTAACATTAATGGACCACCACTGTCGCCCTATAGTAACAAACAATGAACATAAATTATATTAAATGAAAAAATTATTGATTAAAAATGAATAAACATTTACTTACTTGGCATGAATCTTTGCCGCCGCTACGATAACCAGCACACATCATCTCGTCATAGATGACCACGTTTATACCATTCGAACGATGCCACCTTTCGCAAATACGATTGTCTATAACTGGTACGTCAACCGCTTGAAGTGTCTTTGGTCGTAATCTTGAACCTAAAATGTATGACCAAATACATAAATGGTCCAGATATTAGGAACAACTTGTATTTTAAAACTTGTCTTTTTAAGATAAAAGCATATCGGTATGATCTACCAGCTTGAAGAGCACCCCATCCAGCAGCCCAGCCGTATTGACCTAAAAAGTCTTCATTTTTTTCCGGCAAACAAATAGGTGAAATGTGTGGCATATAATGAACCGGTCGATCCAATCTGAGCACTGCTACGTCGAATCTGCGAACAAATGGACAATTCAAATGAAACGGAAACATATTGAACAAAAAGATTGTGGATTTTTTTCGTTGAAAAGATTTATCGGAATTTACCTGTCGGCCTGTGGCGTGAATTTGAAATATGGATGAACTCGAATTTCTCGAACACCAAAAGTATAAGCGGGCAATGATTCGGTCGCTGAATTGACTACGTAATCTCCAAGGGTAACTTGTACCTGACGTGCCGAAGCTCTGATGAATTTACCAGAAATAGAATAACGAAAAAAAAAATAATTACGAAACAATTAATGATCTAATATATTCTGTTGCTTTTCATTTCACAACGAATATATGCCAGTTATTTTCACTCACTTTGCTACGCAATGACCAGCTGTTACAACGTGGTACCGATTAACCAACGTACCACCACATCTGCTGGATCCTATTCGTATGTAAGCCTGAAGATAACAAAAGAGAACACATTTTATTTAATTCTCAAATATAAAACCGACATATCCGTTTACAACAAAGAGAGAATATTTTTCGTTTTTTTTTTCTTTTTTGTTTCTGTAGCTAACCTGCCAAGGAAAACTTCCAAAACCAGCCTCGTCACCCCCGACGATTCTTCTTTGGGCTGTTTGCTTTGAAACTGGTATACCGCAATCTGGAATATTAATTCTGATTTTGTTTTCCTTCCTGGAGACGTTTAAAAAATACATATTTTTTTTTTTTAGAATAAATACATCGTATTATAGAATACAACTAAATACTTATACGTATATTGATAAGTATAACTCTTTCTTACGACCCCTTACATGGATCAGTAAAAATGAAAGTATTATATGTATATAAATGATAATTTGTAATTATTTATTTCCAAGCAATTTATTTATTCTAAAAAAAATTAATTAGTTTTTTGTATGTAATTTTTTTGAAGAAATTCTTAGTTCTTACGTATTTACGATCGAACAGCTGTTTAATTGCAAAGATTAGTATCACCGAATTAGACTTGGAGTAAAATTCGTTAAAGAAACGTTTCCTTTTGGGTTTAAAGACTCGTTGTTATTACATATAAAAGATGTGCAAAAAAAAAAGGATTCGATTTCAAGTTTCAATGGTTCGTCGATTTAACGATCGTACGATTGGAAAAACGATATCGCATTTTACTATGAACATGATCGACGATTGTGCAAATGAATATAATTTACTGTGTTCGCGGAATATTGTTATTATTATTATTGTTGTTATTGGTATAATTATTGTTATTACTTGACTCGTAATAAAGAACGAGTAGTCGACTGCTTCAATTGAATCTCGGTTTCTAATTCCTCGATTTTCTTCGTCGTTTCGAACGATCGACAATACGAGGCTCGTTCATACAAAACCCAAATAGTTGCATTCTATTCTAGCAAAGAGACGATGAACTATTAGCAAAAGAACGAGTCATTTTAAGATTAGAAACGTCGATAAAACTTTAGCTTGTCGTAACTCATTGTAAAAGCGACCACCTTTCAAATGATTGAATATCGACGACGAGTAGTCGATCGAAAGTGGAAGAAGAATAATAATAAGAAAGTGAATATAGAAGTAAAAGGTAGACCATTTACAAAATATGACACGCAAGTATGCACTTACTTGACCAACAAAACATGCAGACGAATATTATTATTTTTCTTTTTTTTTTTATTTTAGAATTGTCAGAAGAGAGAGAGAGAGAGAGAGAGAGAGAAAAAAATTCCATGATAAGAAAAGTTAACGAAAAAGAAGAAGAATTTTTATATACATACATATAACACGTATACACATAAACACATATATATATATATGTTACCGTCAAAGCTGGAAATCAGTCATTGCTAGTAATTCCTCAACATTGTTATCAATGCAAAGAGCCTTCAGACGAAATTGGAAATAAGACTATTTACAGAGTTTTCCCTAGGCATCGAACATAGTACCCCAAAACAACCCATACAAGAAAAAGCATTTCATTCTAAACCTGTCTATCTTCCAAAACGATAGGAAAGAAAAAATACTGCTTTCCGTGGAAATCTCTATGAATATCTGTCTAACTAATGTCTAGAAAATATAGCCTGAACCTTTGCAAATCGATTTATAACTCGATAAGGTATTTCACACGTAGAAAAAAGGGTGTACTTTAATTTAATATAAGAGTCATTAAAATCTATTCACTCTTAGTTTAAAAAATATTTGCCGAAACTTTTCAAAGAAATGGCAAAGTAAGAAAAATTTGCAGCATCGCATTCTTTGCCATTTTATGAACCTTTTCAGATTGATTTATAATTCGGAAAGGTACTCTACGCGTAGACAAAAGAGTGTACTTTAATTTAATATAAAAATCATTAAAATCTATTTACTTTTAGTATACAAAATATTTACCAAAACTTTTCGAAGAAATTCCAAAGATGCACAATTTACAGTATTGCATTCTCTGACATTTCCGATTCATCGGAAGGCGCTTTGCATTAATAACAATGCCGAGGAATTACTAGCAATGACTGATTTCCGGCTTTGACGGTAACATATATATATATTTAATAAGACAAAGAAGAGAAAGAAGAAAAAGAAAAATTAAATTGTAGAAAAGAACGAATAGACGTATTACAAACGTACAACGTAGATAGTCAATATCGAAGAAGAAGAAGAAAAAGAAAAAGAAGAAATGATTGTATTAGAACAAATCGATAAACGATCGACCAACGATGGATAGGATATAAGAAAAGAAAACAAAAATGAAATAAGTGTTAAAAAAGAATAATTTACGTGCTTGTAAGATCCACAGTGTGCTCGAATGATCTAATAAGTTTCGTATTCCTTTTATAATCGAAGCCTAACATAAGCGAGATGAGAATGAAGATGGCGACATGCTTCTTTATTGGCGAGGAAGAACTTACGATCGTCATTGGTAGCCTCCGTATAAGTTTCCAGCGGAAGTTGTTGAGATTGATCTCGAGGCGTCTCGAGGAAGTTAGAATCGGAGATTGTTTTAGGATCTTTTCGGTGACAACAAGCGAACATAATGCCACCACAACTGCCATCCAATAGGCCGGCGGACATCCAGCACATTAGAAAAAATTCACAGGTTCGTCCGTCGGCGCACAAAGTATCGTCGCCCTTCCAAAGCGGTCTTTTCTCTTGACGAGATTCTGCACAAAATATTTGCTAACTTGTTTCTCTTTTTCTTTTTCTTTCTTTCTCTCTCTCTCTCTCTCTCTCTCTTCCTCTTTCGAATTCTTTTGGTTTCTTTTTTTGTTGTTGTTGTTGATCTCGTATGCAATTAAATAAACGAACGAATATATAATATATAATAAAACCAATTTGGATCGTCGATCATTCAATTACTCCAAGTCTAGACTCCGTGACTCTGCTTAAGTAAGATTTCGTCAATGTGCGACTCAATTTTCAAAGCAGCCTACCGTAATGCCTGTTATTATTATATTGCTAATCCCAGAGTATAACGAACGCGTTAGGCTATCCCTAAAGAAATCCCTCCCATGAAAGACACAATGCCGGAAATTGTCAACCACCTATACAACTTTTACCTCATCTCTAAACAATTAAACAATTATCAAGCGCGACTTGATCATTTTGTTTATCGTGTTTTATAACTTACATGTACACAATGTGAAAATAATTTAATAATGATTTTATTATAAATTATTAACCGTACCTGTTTCCAGCCTGGGATAATCTTCTAACGTTTGCTTTCGATGATCTGAAAGAAAATATCAATGAAACGCGTAATTTGTTCCCTTAGAACGAAATTTTGTTCTTTTCGTGATCCATCCTCGATTTTCAAATAACGAGAAATCAATGTCAGATATCTTCGATTATCATTCGATTCGAATTAATAACCGCGAGATGGAATTTGATTTCGTAAGAAAAAATAAAGTCATTGAACTCGGGCATCAGTAGAAATGAAATATTTTACAATATATTTCAATTAACTATGTACATTGTGGAGTAACGTTACCGTAAGATATATTGATATGCGAATGATTTTTATAATAAAAATTAAAAAGATTATCTGAAAATTGACATGAACATATCGATCCCTGGGGAATGTTGAATCGAAATGAAAGGAAAATAAGTGAACAACTTTATAAAGTTCTTAACAAAGAATCAATGAAATGTAAAAGAGAACTGGTTAATGATAAATACGAAAAAAAAGAAAAAGGAAAAGAAAAAGAAAAAGAAAAAGAAAAGAAAAGAAAGATGTTTTATTACCTCTAACGTCATCCTCAAAGTCAGGCAGCTGATTGGATTGAAAGAAAGTTGTACTTCCTCCGCCAGCAGGCGGTAGAAAATCGTTGTCACGGAATATCAACCTCGGAGTTCGATGACCCATCACCGGTCTGGAGTATTCAGAAACGGGACTTCTCCAAAGGGACTTGTACTGCCTCCAAGGTGATGAAAATTGTGTTTGGGGTCCGAAACGTGAGGCTGGATGAGTTCCAACGTTTCTCGGCCCGATGGCCGGGCCACTCGTTTCGAAAACATATCCACCAGGACCGCTAGGAAAACGAACGTATCTTCGTTTACGAAGAACTGGACTTAAAATCCGTTCGGTGGTACGATTGCTATCACTTGTTTCATTATGCAATGGAATTCTAACGGTATCGATCCTTTCAAGATGGAATTTCTTTGGACGAATGGTAGTGTCTTGATTGGCCTGGCTCTTCGAAGAGAGCACGAGGACCAGTCCTATGAAAAACCAATGGCACACCTTCGTCGCCAACCCCATTGCTCGATTTCTGAAAATATAATAAATAAATTATCCGTAAGGGGTTTGATTTTGATTTATAAAAATTCGTTCTATAATAACGAATTGTTATGATAGATTTTTCGATCAATGTAATTAATCTATCGTATCGTATTTCTTAAAAGACATTTTTTGAAGTAACTCGTTAAAATAAAACGAGTTACTCGAGTTTCATATATTAAAAAAAAAAAAAACAGAAAAAAACAGACGACGGTTTCCAATGAGTCATCGTCTGCGGTTGGAAAGTCGTTCGAAAAGTTTCAAAAATGAATAGGGAAGATTAAAGGGTAACTTCCTTCGTACGAAGGACTAAGAGACAACGAAATCTAGTTTGCGTCACGTTTAGAACCGTAACGAGCGAAAGTAAAGACTCCCGTCCTTCTTCATAAGGACTAAGAGAGAAAGAAAAACGAGAGATAGAGAGAGAGAGAGAAAGATAAGTAAAGGTTTGAAGCTGAATCCGGTGTCAGCATCAGTCCTAATCACTATAGGATAGTAACATTTGTTATGCCAGTGGTTGTCCTGACCCGTGCCAGTCACACTAATCGCTGTAGTCGTTCATGGCTAATTTAACAAGCTAACAATTACTACTTCTCGTAATAATGTAATGGAGAAGGCTGCTAGCTAGCTAAGCGAAATTAGAAAACTGTTAGAGAAGAAATGGCAATAGGAAAAGAAAGAAAGAAAGAAAGAAGACCCACATTTTCTGTAGTTATTAAACAAAAATAAAAAGAAAAATAAGATGGGGTAGCTGATGGAATTTCGTGCAGAAGTGACGACGAGATGAATGGGACAGGATCGAACGGCCTTGTCGAGTACGATCGACCGGCTTCTGACTCGGTTCGATGTGTTAGTAGGTCATTGGCTCTCCGTTCGCTTCGTGAATCCACCAGAAGTGAAAGTGCACTTCTTGCGTGCACGACAGTGTGAAGTTCACGTTCACGCGGTGCCACCCGCTCGGCGGAAGTTACGACTGGCTGCCCACGATTCTCGGGCACACTCTTCTTCTCCTTCTCATTCTCCTCCTTTTTATTATTATTTCTTTTCTTTTTTTTTTCTCTCCAACTGCCACCCACCCCCAGCGAATGAAAGAAGACACGGCATAGAACACTGAGAGAGAGTAGTCGATCGTTATGCAGGAGCCAACGCTTATCAGCACAGTTGTTACCTTAATCGGAGCATCTCTTACAGTTTAACGCAAGAATAAATTATCTGGCGAAAGGAGGAGATCTTTTCTCTTGGTCCAGTTTCTATTGCGTTCCAAACGGAAGATCGAGAACTACTATATCGAATTGAAAGAATACTACTTTGTTGGATCGAGTAACGTAATAGCTAGAAGACATTGTTAAATCAACTACCTTAATGGCTTTACTAGTTCTCGAATATCAGCATAAATGGAATACATGTATATATACATGTATATCCGTCTATATAAATGTTCAAGATATTCGATCGATTTTTTTTTTTTTTCATTAAGAGAGAAAAAATATTACTCGCGTAGAAAAGTGGAACGGATAGTTTGAGATATCGAGACTAAACTAATCCCCGTTTCTATCTTCCTTCCTCTCTCTTTCTTTCTTTCTTTTTTTCTTACTTGATTTTAAAGGATAAGATTACGTGCCGTATAGGTAAGTATACGAGATAAGATAAGATCATTTTGCGTGAAATTTTCATTAAATGTTAATACTCTTCTCATTTTTTTATCGACTAGAAATTAATTACATTGACAAAATGATTCAATTCAAAAAAAAAATCATACAAGATAGATGCACAAAAATTTATCTATAATTTAATAAAAAGCGACTATATTAAAATTTAATGAAAATAATTTTAAATGATCATTTTTTAACAAAACTATATACTATGATAGAATTTTTCGAAATAGGTAAAAAAATAAATAAAAAACAAAAAGAAAAGAAGAGATGTGAAGAAGAAGAAGAAGAAGAAAAAGAAAGAAAAAAGTCGACGAGGGTCCAAGACTCACGGGACTTTCACCGGTCCCGTGTCTAGCTGGTTCTAACTGGCATATACAACAACACCGAACGAAAGTACCGAGTTTCTTCTCTGACTGGTATCACCACACCGGGACACACCGTGTTCGTAGCACGTAATTGCACCTTCGTTTTCCAGCTGTTCGCTGGCGCTTCGTGAAAGCTTCGCGCACAAACACATAAACATATACATACACACATACACGCAAGTTATTATTTATACGTGAACATATTTACCATGATATCAGAGCACCCACCAACCTCACCCCCCCCCAACCTCCCCGCACCTTCCCACATTTTCAATGCCTTTTATTTTCCTTTTTTTTTTTTCTTTCTTTTTACCGATATATTTTTGTCGAGTACCTCTCCACCAAAGAGAGGATTCCAAATTCTCTGATCGAACCGGCACCGAGAACGTGATCCGTTACTTTCTCCAACGAGGAACGTGCCTCCTTCACTTTCGCCCAAATCGTGTGTCTTCGTCTGTCGTCCTTGTTGTCTTCTTCCGAAACGAAACTAACGAAAATTCAAGATTCCCCTCAACAGACTTTCTCGTCGAATCGTAATACGAATCTTTAATCGTTCTAGTTTTTCACTTCTCGTTGTTTCTTTTTTCGCTTGCTTATATTCTTTTTTTTTCTTCATTCTTTATTCCCCCATGAGAATATCTTTTAATCGGAATAAATAATCCGTTCGCGTGTATTGTTCTCTCTCTCTTTCTGTCTGTCTCGTATGAGAATCTTTTTTATTCATCAAAAAAATTAATTCTTATCTACCTTTCGTTTCTTTTTCGAAGAGGAGAAAAAAGACAGTTAAGTAACGGTAGTTTTCTTGGAAATGTTTCGAAATCTTTACAGCATCATCGACGAAATCATTTCGAATTCCTTTCCCATCTCCAAAAGGGCCATCATTTTCTTGGCCGTGAAGAAAACCGGTTGGAAGAAATCACTGTGTTCTGTGCTTCTCTTATTTCTCGTGGCCTTGAAAGAGTACGCTTCTCCTCGGTCTAATTCGTTGATACCCACCTTCGTGACGAATACTTTCCATTGTGTAACGAATTCTTTTCGCACGGCATTCGATAGTTTGTCTTTTTACCGTCATTAGGTACTTACTCATTAGCAAAAAATAATTGTTAATCAACAACAACAACAAAAAAGAGCGATATTTAATAAGGATCGCGGGTCGCATTAAAAGAAATTATTAATAAACAACAACGCGTCATCCTTTCGCCTTCGTTGAGTCAGAAAAAAAATGATGAAAGGAGAGAGCAGATGAAAAAAGAAAAATATTAATAACTTTGTCCGAATATTTATAGCTTTCACTTATCACGGGTACTTGAGAATTAGGCGATTAAGTTTCATCGAGTTTTGAAATTATACTAATCGATTGATTCACACAAAGGAACGAGTACTCAAGTGTATCCACGATGAAAAATTATGTGCAATTGATAAGTATAATTAATGTGAAACTAATTGTTAATTTATAAGACCTAGCACATAATTGAGATAAATATATAAATATAAATGTATTCGTATCACATAGTCGCACACAGACACATGGATGATTAATACTTTAACGCAAACTAAAATGTTTATTATACAATTTCATCCCATATAACTACTCATCGAAACGAAAGAGGAGTATATAAAAAATAAAAGAAGAAAAAAACAATAATAATAATAATTTGGGATTATGCATCCGTAAATAAGTATCATCGATTCGAAATCGGAAGATTCGAGTTGATGGTTTCTACTTCCGCGACACGTTTCTCCATTAAAACCCTTGAAATTCTGTTACGTAAAGGAGGAGTGCCGTTTAGGCAATCCGTGTACATACAACGCTCATCGAAACACGCGCATCTTTAATGTGGTACCATCGTAAGAGCTTCGGATTCGGAGAATACCGGAAATACTTTCACTACCTACGAGACTAGAAGTTTAACAAATGACGAATCTTTTTTTACGAAATACAACTTTTGTCTTCGTTTCATTTCGTATTTTACTTTCGTCGAAAATTAAATGGAAATCTTATGATTATTGGAAATTTAGATAAAAAAAAAAAAAAAAGGAAAAGAAAAACATTTGCCGAACCAAATTCCACTACTTTTAATCAACGTACGCGAATATATCATTTTTAAATTAACAATTACAAAAATTGATCTATAGTTCTGATCAATTAAATACACTATTGGAAATCTTCTTAAATCGATTTATGAAATTCAATAAAAACCGTCTGTTCAAGCATTGAAATCACCGAAATGGAGATATTCCGGATTCTTTTGGAAGGCGTCGATCGTCTTAAAGGCTTTCCTTTTTAATACTTTAAAACGTTACTAAACGATCTCACTTTCACCCTAGATGTTTTCAAATAGAGATTTCATTATCCCTGACAAAAAAAAAAGAAAAGCAAAAACACTCGGAATAATAAAACGTGGAACGTAGCATTTCGTTTTCTTCTTTCAAAAATGCCACTAATTAAATTGAGAATTTGTCTTTCGTTCATTTTTACCAAACGTTTCTACTTATTGTTAAGTAAATAGAAATAAAGAAAGGAAGAAAGAAAGGAAGAAAAGGGAAAGAAAAGAGAGAAAAAAAACAATTAAAGACTCGAGAAAGCGAGGAGGACTCACCGAGTCACAAGATCGAAGTCGATCCCCCGTGCAGCCTACGCGAACCTGACCTTTTCTGGATTTCTCCTGGTCTCTTTCGAGTAGAGAGAGAGAAAGAGAGATAGATAGAGAGAGAGAGAGAGCAGCAGCAGCAGCTCTCGTGAGAGTTGACGTAGTAGTAGTAGTAGTAGTAGTAGTAGTAGTAGTAGTAGCCGAACAACGTTCTTCCCAATGTACCAAGAGAAATAAACTTTTCTTTCGGAACGATAATATAATCCTTTTTCCTCCTTGGTTTTCTTCTTTTATATTATTATATATTTCGTCGTTGTGTTTTGTTTTATTTTTATTTTTCACCAAAACCTCTCACCACCTTCTCTTCTCTT